AGGTGGAGACTTCCGGGAAGAGGGATGCCGAGCAGAGCCTCTGGCTCTTGGTGTGGCTTTGGCTTCCCTGAGAGTTTACAAGAACCTTTACTGGAAATGTCAGTGAGCAAGGTCACCAGGGAGTCCCGGGAGACCCAGAGTCCACTGTAGCGGGGCCGGAGCGTCCACCGGCCCTCGGAGCTTCGGATGTGGTACGGTCAGGGGCAGTGGCTGCTCTGTGCTCTCTGCTTCTGAGCCTGCTCCTGTCTCCTCTCCAGAGCGAGGCAAGGTGGAACCCTTCTGGAGCAGGCAGAGGCGCACGGACAGAACGGCAGCTTCATTGCACATGGTCAAGGTAAGACAAGTACAAATAAGAATTGGGCAGCATTGCTCCAGTCTGAACCGGAGTCCCTCTTCTGGTGCCCAGATGACATCCCAGGATTCCCCCTTCATTGTCTTCCAAGGAGCCCCTTTGCCCCTCTGCTGTGGTGGATCTCCTGTGTTCTGCACCCCACATTTTCTGCTCTCTTGGTTTACTTTCTAGTTTTGGTAGAACACTTTGTCTAGTAGCTTTTCCAGAAACTGTGCATTGGAAGTAAACATTTTGAAATTTTATACGTCTGAAAAACATACATACCCTAACTTTTTACCTGATTTGATAGCCTGAATGGATATAAACTTCAAGTTGAAAGTAAACGTTCTTCAGCATTTTGAAAGCATTGCTTTTAACTTGTATTATTGCTGCTGAGAAATCCAAAGTCTTTCTGGTATCTAATCCTTTGTATGTTACTTTGTTTCAGAAGTTTCTAGCTTCTTCTCTTTAATTTGCCTTGGTGTGAGTTTATTTTCATCTACAGTGTTGGGTCTTAGTGGACACACCTTTAATGACCTGGCAACTCCTGTCCTTCTGTTCTGGAAAATTTCCTCAAACTAGTTCATTGAGGATTTCTTCTCTTCCATTTTCCTCTGTTTCTTTCTTTCTTTTTTTCTTTTTCAAGTTTATTTATTTACTTTAGAGAAAGACAGAGACAGTGCAAGTAGGGAAGGGGCAGAGAGAGAGAGAGAGAGAGAGAGAGAGAGAGAATCCCAACAGGCTTCTCACTGTCAGCACAAGAGCCCTACATGGGGCTTGAGCTCACGAACTACAAGATCATGACCCCAGCCAAAACCAAGAGCTGTATGTTTAACTGACTAAACCACCTAGGCCGCCCCTCCACCTTTTTTTTCTTACTGGAGCTTCTGTTATGTTGATGTTGAACTCCTGCAATTGTCCTGTAATGTTTTAATCTTCTGTCTTCTTTATTTTCTTAGTATGCTTGCTTTACTTCCTAGGGAGGTTTAGTCGACTTCATGTTCCTATCTTTCTATTGACATTTTGTTTTTTGCCGTCATGATTTTATTTTTCAAGACATAATTGTTGCTCTTCCTATATTCTGGTTGTTCCTTTATGTAGTATCTTGTTCTTGTTTCATAGAGGTACTATCTTGTCTTATCTCTCTAAGGATTAAAAATGGGCTTTTGGACCCTTCCATCTCTCTGTATAACCTGTTTCCTGCAAGTTACTGCTCTTATTGTTTTGTCTGTCTTTGCATTAGAAAATTTCCTGGATGTCTGTAATTTTTGGCCATGTTTAAGGTTGTGGAGGCTGAGAGGGCTAGTCAAAACTCTGAGCCAACGCACAGGCTGGCTTTGCCACTGTAGGGTGACACAGCTGGGTTGTTTAGGGGGAAACCTCTATGTCAATATCTTCAGATCTTCCCTCTAGGGCTGGTGAAATACCCCAGGATAGAATCTTCCAGTTTCCTCACCAAACAGCAAAGACCCTACTCCGAGCACTTTGGGAGCCCAACAGTAGAAGGCTAGCGGTCTCTGCATTCAGTGTCCCATATGACATGGTCACTTAATCCCCTCGTTTTTAGTATTTTCAGTATGGTATCTCTGGTCACAATTGAGTTCGCAGCTTCTCCAATCCTGATAGTCTCTCTCTCTCTCTCTCTTTTTTAATTTTTTGATGTTTATTTATTTTTGGGAGACAGAGAGCAGGAGAGGGGCAGCGTGAGAGGGAGACAGAGGATCTGAAGCGGGCTCTGTGCTGACAGCAGAGAGCCCAATGCAGGGCTCGAACTCATGAACTGTGAGATCGTGACCTGAGCGGAAGGCGGATGCTTAGGCGACTGAGCCACCCAGGTGCCCCCAATTACCCTCTATCTTACCATCCTTGGAGGAAAATCTTCCAGACTGTGGCTGGGATGGGGAGGGACTTATAGCCCAATGGCCTGGAGTTAGGAAAGAAATCTAGGGATCTGACTGCTTTTCATCCTGGCCTTTATTTCAGCAACCTCTTCCACGGTTCCAGGGGGATGGTGGTTGGCAGTTTGTATGCCTTCTGAGAACCTTGCAATGTAAATGAATTTGGCTCCAGTTCAGACCCCCCCCCCCCCCCCGCTGCCAGTTGAGATGTCTTTTTCCTCAGGGCTGATAAGTCAGTAATCGCATGGCTGTCTGCCATCCTGCTTCAAAGATTCTGTGGCTGTTGCCTGTTTTCCTGTTCTCTCCATCCTTCAGGGTTTATCTCTTGATTTAAAAAATTTCTTTATTGAAATTTTAGTGGAGTTTGGGGAGGGAGTGAAATTAGATATATGCATTTCATCACCATCTTAACCCAGAACCCTAACTTCCGTTTTCAATATATTTTTAAAAACATAGTTCCTGGGAATAATCCTACTTGGTCATGGAAGATTGCTGTTTTAATGTACTGGGGTGTGTTTATTTCTGTCTTTCCATTTAGAAGTCTTTAAGTGAACACGATTAGCAGGAAATGAGCCCTTCTATGAGGAGGATTCAAGGGAAATGTCTCTAGCAGGATAACTTTTATTAAGTATCTGAGAGAAAACCAGAGGCTGGGTCCCAGTATGCAGCCTTCAGGCAGCCCCTAAAGGGCTTGGGGGGCTGTCCCGACTACAATAGGGATCCTATAGTGATCCCAGAGGGTGCATCCTGGGAATGCCCTTTGCAATGTTTGCTTAGGGACCCAGAATAAACACCAGCCTTCATCATTGGCATCCCCAGGAAAGGGGATCAGCTGGTTGCCTGATTGTATTATATCAGTTGAAGGGATTCTGTGATGAGAAGGTGAGTCCTAGATGCCTTTCTGAAACACACCCCGTTGCCCAAATGGACCCCAGAATTATTCATTTGTGTGTTACTTACTCATCTAATATTCATTGAGCATCTCACCAGGGCATCTCTCTAATTGAGCTCTTTATGACTATGTGAGCTCTGTGACTGAGACAGAACCTGCCCTAGGTAACTCTTTCAGCAGCCCCTCTCCAACCTTACAGTGCAGCAGGGGAGGGGGAGACGGAAAAGGGGTCAGGGTCACATCCAACGGCATAACACAGTGACAATAATTTTTTCTCTCTGTGGCTTGTGATACGGAATAAGTGAGGATATTCTTTTATTTTTTATTTTTTAATGTTTATTTATTTTTCTGTCCTCCCAGAGCCCAACACAGAGCTCAAACCCACAAACTGAGATCGTGACCTGAGCCGAAGTCAGATGGTTAACTGACTGAGCCACCCAGACGCCCCTAAATGAGGTTCTTCTTAAAGCATCCAGCACAATGCTTGGAGCACAATAGGATGTGTCTGGATTTTGAAGGACAGCCTTATGGGTTGCAGGGAGCCTCCTGTTTTATGTTTCCTGAGACTTTTAAATACTAGTATTTATTTTTATTTTGTTTCAGCGTTTTTAAAGTATTTTACTTTTAGGTCGTCTCTACACCCATACATGGGGCTCAAACTCACAACCCCGAGATGAAGAGCCAAGTGCTCTATGGACGGAGCCAGCAGGCGCCCCTAAATACTCGCATTTTTGGAGGAACACTTGCAGGGATTTACAGACCCAAGATAATACAAACAGAAGAGCTGGAACTACTTAAATCAGTCACTGGGACAGTGTATAACAGAGTCCATAAAGTATCCACAGTGACCACTCTGCTCATTTGTCATCTTCAACACTGGGTTAACCTTGGCCTGGGCTTTCACATTCCTGAAGCTGCATACTCTTTGACTTCACTGTTTTTTCATCCCTTATTGGAAACAAGCTATCAACCACGTCGCGCATGCAGTTTAGGCTCACCATTCTTCCTGGCATACATTTCTGAAACTCTTGAGTATTTCGGGGAGATCAGTTTTTGAAAGAAAAAAAAAAAGAGTTACACACTGATTGGCATTCTGCAGTTCACCTGTGAAGTGTTGCAGGCACTCCCGTGTGTTGAAAGCCACCAGGTTGTAGAGAGGGCAGCAGAGAGCCTGCCTGGGTGCAAGTCTCTGACAAGCTGTGTAATGGGCAAATTCGGTACTTTTCTGGGCCTTAGTTTATCTATCTGTGAAATGGGAACACCCACAGGATTGTGGTGAGGACTGAGGAGCTACTACACTCCTACTCTCACGGCTTACTAAACCGCAGGATGGTTCTGGGGTGCCGTCCTGGGGCAGGCTGTCGCGTGCGCGCGCGCGTGTGTGTATGTGTGTGCACACGTGTGCGCGCGCGGTGCTCCGGCCCAAGGCTGCGTTTCGCGGGGAAGGAGGGCGTGCGGCTGTGTCTGCTGGGCCGCGCAGGGAGTGAGCGTGCGGCTGCCGGCGCCGGGCCGAGAGCGAGGCTCCCGCGCTCGCCGCGGCCGATTGGCAGCGCCGGGTGAATGAGCGCGCGTCGGGGCGACGGGCACCGAGGCGGCGGCGCTGGGCGCTGCGGTGCGCGCCCGCCTGCCGGCTCGGGGAGGGGGCGGGCCGCGGGGGGGAGGGGAGGGGAGAGGGAGGGACGGGCGGGAGCGAGGGACGCAGGCGGGGAAGGGAGGGAGGGCGGTCAGAGCGCGGCTGCCGCGGAGCCCAGCGCGGGCGGCTCTGCCGGGGAGCGGGGCTCGCAGCCAGGAGGCGGCGCCGCGGGGAGGGAGCGCGGGGCGCGGAGCCGGACCCGGCCGGCCGCGGGGGACAGCGCAGCGGGTCGCCGGCAGAGCCGAGCCAGCCCGGGGGACGGTGTGGCGGCGTGGCGGCGGTCGCCAGGACGTGCCGAGGGGGCGTCAGGCGCGACCGAGAGAACGGGCGACACTCGGCGGAGCGTTGTCCAGCTGGGCGCCTGGGCCGCCGCGACCTCCCGTTCTCGGGGGACTTGGCAGAGGAGACCCGCCTGCGGGAGGGAGCGAGAGGAGCAGGTCGGCGGGTCCGGGCAGGGGGAGAGGGAGAGCGCGAGAGCGGCGTGAGCGAGAGAGCGAGCGAGCCTTCGAGGGGTGGGTGGGTGTGTAGGGGGATGAAGGTGTGTGATGTGTCTGTACGGAGTGTGTGAATGTGTGTAGGGGTGTGTGTGCCTCTCTGTGTGACTGTATATGCTGTGCGTGTCTGTGAGGGGCGTGTGTGTGTGTGTGAGAGAGAGAGAAAGAGAGAGAGAGAGAGACGGGAGGCTGAGAGCTCACAGAGCTTGGGTCTGAACCCATGTAAGAGGGAGGGGGCTCGGCAGAATCGGATGTGTGTGTGCGTGTGTGTGCGCGCACACACGTGTGTGTGCAGGGGTGTGTGAAGGGTGAGTGTGTCACGGGTGCTAGGTGTGGCTGTGTGTGATGTAAGGGTGCCGGGTGCACGTGTATCCCTGGCTCACCCTCCCCTTCCCCCACCAGATGTGTTCATGGAGGGGGTACTCAGGGGGAGGTATGACTACTGCAGCAGCCCCTTGCCCAGCTTGCCTGCCTGGCCATCATCTCCAGGAAGCCGGAGATGGCCAAGCTGCCCCTCCCCCCCAATACTTCTAGGGTTAAGGGGAGGGGAGCAGGCCGAGCCCCAAGAAGGAGGGGAAAGGCTGAAGAGACCGCTCCTGCCAGACTAGAGCACCCCGCTTCTTGGATGGGAGTCTGGCTGCCTTCTCCATGTCAGCCTGATCACTCGGCCCTGTGCTTTGCCCCTCCCAGAGCCCTGTGTTCCCCGGGGTCTGAGTGAGAGAGAGCGCCAGCATTCGTAGCTTGGAGCCCAGGGTGGGGGTGGGGGCAGCGAGTGTGAGGCTCCTCCGTTGAGTGTTTGCTTGTTCACGGTTGTATTAGCAGAAGGGTGCTTGGCACATAGTAGGCCTCAATAAATGTCTGAGGGAGGACAAGAGGAGAGACAGAAGAGAGGGAGGGAAAGGATCTGAGTCAAAAAGTCTAAGTCCATCCCTTCAGCTATCAGGGAGGATGAGGACATCCTCATTCAGGCCCCAGGCCCCAGATTGAGGAGGTTGGGGAGACAGGGGGTCAGGGAGAGGGGCTTGAGCTGGAAGAGAGGGGGAACCGCAGGGAAGAGATCTGTTCTGGGCCTGAATGGAGGAAGGAGTTGGCAACTCTCCTTGGGCAGAGCCCTGTGCGTCCTGTCCCCACCGCCTGCTTCTCTGTGATCAGCAGCCTCTCTCTGGGGCATCTGATCCCAGGCAGCCAGGGCTCATAGCGCCTCTCCTCTCTCCAGGATCTTCAAGCTCAAAAGGTGCTGAAGAACTGAGCCCCTGCCCAAGGCCACCCAAGGCCAGGCCAGGCCATGGCAGGGCCTGGCTGTCTGGGGCTGGGGCTGTTCTGCTGGGTCCTGCTTGCTGTTCCTGTGGGCCCCCAGCCTGCCGCCTCCGTCTCGGGTGTCCCTCTCACCACTTTGACCCCACCGCCTCAGACTGAGGCCTCTATGCTGTCTCTCAACCTGGGACTTAACTTCAAATTCCACCTTCGGGGACCTGCTGCCGCCTGGGGGATCTCTGTCACAGAGACCCAGCCGCTCTCTCCTGGGCCGAGCCGGGAGCCAGAGGAAGAGGTGGCCAGTGGGCTGAGGACTGACCCCATTTGGGAACTGCTGGTGGGCTCCCTTGGGAAGTCCCCCCCAGAGTGGGGCTCCGCTGAAGGCAGCTCTCCGCCCTGGGCCTCCTCCCAGTCTCCAGAGTCCACATCCCCCCACTCTGGGCTCACTGACCGGCCCACCGCTCCCTATCAGCCCAGGATGGGCACTGTCACCTGGGACACCGCTCTGACAGTGACAGCAGCTCCATCCAGTGCTCCCAGGCCCCGCCAGAGTGAGCTGGAGCTGAAGTTTGACATGGCCCTGAGAGCAGGTGCAGCCCCCACACTTGGGCATCGGACGCTGCCCCTGCTGCCCAGCCTGCGGGCCAGCCTGGCAGAGATTGCTGGGCGCCTGGGACCCTTTGGTGAGTACCTACCCCACCTGGAGAAGAGCCCCTGCTGGGCAGCCTGGCAGGTAGGAGGAAGCTTCAGCCAGGGCTCCTTTTGCAGGGTTCTTTGGCACTACTCTGTCTCCACTGCGGAACTTCTCAGGCCCAGGCCCTCTCGGCCCAACTCCATCCCCAAGCTCTCCTGCTAGAGTTTCAGATGCTCCAGGTGAGTGTTCATTTTGTTGCAACAAACACATAGGGAACGCTTCTGCATGCCAGGCACGGTGCTAGGGGCCGAATCAGATCTCCCTGGCTTCTTTGACTCTGTGTTGCTTTTCCCAGGGCCTGGAACACGGGCCACTGCTCCTATGGGGAAATATCTTTGCCATACTGAGTCTGATTTGGTCCTTGCAGTTTAGCTACCAGGGTACGTGTGGCTACAATGCCTGGTTGGTGTACGTTGGCTCCCTTAGGGCAAGATCTGGGGAAGGACAGGATTTTCTCCAAAGCCCCGACAGCCAAGACTGGCTGGTGGGATGGCGCTTGAACCCCGCGTACTCCCTTTGCAGGGTTCTTTGGCACCACTCTGTCCCCATCCCCATCCCCTCTGGAGAGAAAGCTCCCAAGCTCAGGCCCGTTGGACCCCGCTGCTTCCCTAAGCTCTCTCACAATTGCAACAGCATCACTAGGTAAGTGTCCAGTTCACTTGCACATGACATTTATTTAGCACTTACTACATGCTAGCCACTCATTGGCGTTCTGGGACTCTTATTTCATTGTCATCATAATCATAATCACCATTCTCTTCATCATCACCGTGGCGATATATATTCATGGTCTGAGAACAAGTGTGGCTGGGGACGGTCCCACACAGAGTTAAGTAATGGTCCTCCGGGAGTTTTGCAATCACAGGCAGAGCAGGATGTAGACAAATGTCTGGCAGACAGGCACAGGAACTCCTTCATGATTCCCACAGCCTCAGTACCAACTCCACCCTTCGCTCCGGTCTGCCTGGCCTGCCTCTCCACCTGCCACCCTACCTTGGGGCTCTCTCTTTGCCATCTGATCTGACATGACATATTGTCAGATATGGGCAGAGCTGGGCCCTTCACTGGGAAGACATTGAAGAGAAGACCTTGAGCAGACAGACGTCACCCTTATTCGAGGGAGTCTTTCAGAACATGCATGTAGATAAGCTGGTCGTGCGGAGGAAAGACCAGGTGGCTCTGGAATCTTGAGACTTGGTTTAGAATCCCAGTTCACTTACTAACTGGCTGGGTGGCCCGGGAAAGTTATTTAATCTTCCTGAGCCTAAAGTGTCCCATATATTTAGGGTTTAATAATAGTACCTATTCTGTTCTTGTGAAGCTTCTAGATAATGTAAGCTCCTGGCATAAGGCTGGGCATGAAGTAGAAGTTTATTAAATAGTAGCTGTTGGCCTTGGTTCTGCCCCTACTGCATCCCAAATGCACTTCCAGAGCCTGCCTCTCCACATGGCAACCCATGTGATGTGATGGCCAACATGACCCACAGGGCAGAGAGCACTCTCAGGGACAGGCTCTGGTAGGTGAGGCCCAGGGAGCCACAAAGAGGGACCCCTCGGCCCAGCTTTGTTCTGCAAAACATTTACTATAGCTGTGAATCCACACACAGTAATTCCCAGTAGGAACCAGCTCAGCAGGAAACCACTGGTCTCCCAGCTTCTTCCAGTTCCAGACTTAGCACAGCACCTGACTGTAGCTCACTCCAGAGCAGTCTCTGTGCTCCTGGGCATATGGGTGAGGGGGCTGCTGTCCCCTCCCCATTAAGCCTGGTTTGTAGCAGTGGCAAGATCTGCTGTGGGATGGGGTGAGGGGGGGCAGGCTCTGTGGCCCCAGGGGAAGGACGCTGGCTGGCAGTCTGTCAGCCTTGGTGACAGTGCTGGCCAGGCAGGTTTAATGAGTCTGGACAGTATCAGAGGAAGCCCAGCTCACTGTCCCACTCCCTACCCCCTCCTCACTGTGGCTGCAGGAACTCAGCCTCTTCCTGGCTATTTCTCTCAGATAAACCCAGGAGAGCTACAGGCCTCTTGAAGAGAGGGCCAAGGGGCCTTACTCAAGCCAGCAGCATGTGTAGGGAGTAGTGTCAAGCAGTTAGGGGACAAAGGACAGTCTCTGCCTCCTCTAGGATCTTTCTAACCTAGGTGTGGTTAACCTTTGACTCTAGGGCCTCTCTTTTGCATTAGGCCCCCTTCACCTTGGACAAAACTAGTAGTCAGCCAGTACACACAGGAAGAAGTTGTGCAGGTCATTAACATATTGAAAGACTTTCCTACAACTTGATAAGTATCCGCTGGCCTGAGCCCCCTGAGCACTCACTCCCCTCCACTCCCTAGGCACCCTGGCTGACATCTGTTCTGATTGGCTGCCATCTCTGCCATTTACAGTTAAATATTTCAAATTACAAAGAGGATCAATCTTCCATGATCCTAGAGGTGGGGGTGGGGAGAGGAATGGGGCCAGGCCACTGAATGGACTGTAGCCTCTATTGGGAGAGAGATTCCCCAGCCCTTTGATCTGGGCAGCTGGTAGATAATCAGGCCTGACTTTTCCATAAATCGAGCAGGCTCCTCTCCCCGACTCCATCCCAGCCAGCTGTGACCTCGCCAATTACTCACATTGACATCCTATCTCCTTTCTTGCCCCTGAGGTCAAGACGGGCCACAGGGCCAGAGTGGGACTACCTTGTAAGAGAGGGGTCCTCAGGGGAGGGATCCTAGGAAGTCACTATCTTCTGGGCTCTTCTGGGGGAGACTGTGAGGGCTCTTTCTGGGCAAGTCTCAAGTGCGGAGATGGGGGATGAGGTCAAATGGACTCTCCAAAGACAGAAACTGGGTCTTCTCTGCCTGTCCCCACCTACATCATGGCCCAGCCCTGGGCACACAGGGTATGCACAGCCTCCCAAGGAAGCAATGCTCCTAGTTCAGAACTCCCTCCTCTGACACCTGAGCTGTGCCCATACGTTGCCTGTTTCTGGTTTTGATTCTTTTCTGGCTTCTTAATAATGTTAAATAGTTGCTCTCCCTGCCATCGTGATTTGGGACAGAGGTATGAGACGGGGTTTCTTGTGGCCCTCGGGTAAGAAGTGGAGCTAGAGGAAGGTGAGGTAGGACAGACCTCGGAGAGCTGCACTCCTCTGCACAGGGAGAGGAAGAGGAGGCTGTGAGGGGTGCCAGGCTGGCTCAGGCAGTGGGGCTCCTGGGCACAGTCTCACTGCCTTTCTGCTGAGCCCGCCAAAGCCGAGGAAAAGCCAAGCAAACTCATCCACTTTCCAGAAGAGAGTTGGGCAAGACCATCTGAGAGAACGAAGGAAGGGGGTTGATGGAGGGGGTGCAAGCATTTGGTCCTGTTCGTGTCAGACCGATGCCCACCCCTGATCAACAAGCCATCCCAGCTGAGCGGTTCCTCATTTAACTCGCGGCTGTGTCTCCGTTAGGCGTTCGGGGGTGGTCAGGCCATCCAAGTGGTGTTCCTCAGGCAGGGTTCGCACAGTGAAACAATGTGACTAACGGTTGCCTTTCTAAACGAGTTTAGGATGTGCTCAGAGACACCAGCCTTTCATTAGTTAAATCAAGAACGAGTTTGAGGCCAGAAATAGTCCCACTCACGTGAACACAAACTGATGACTGATCGGTGATAAACATTAACTGATAATGATGATACCAACAACCATCACATATCGAATGCTTATTAGGCACCAGGCACTCTGAAGAGCTTTGGACACGTCGCCCATTTATCCTCATACCAGCCTTACGCAGTAGGTGCTCTTCCCCATTTCAGACTTGAGGAATGTGATGGACCGGGAACCAGGGCACATACTGCCATTTGCAGGAAGCAGCAAGCTGTGTATATTTCATTTTTGGCTGCTCCCGCTCTGCCCTCCCCAGTTGTCTGATTCTATCTTCCCCTCCTCTCTCTCCAGGGCTGCTTTCTACCCCCTCTCACTCCTTTTCCTTGTTCTCAGGATTGCTCTGTTTTGCACGTTCCCAGCATGAGCTGGCACTGCCTGGGTGTGGGAGTGCCCCTGGGGTCTTCCTATATTGTACAGCTGAGGCAAGGCTGGAGCGCGGCCAGGCTGTTGGGGCAGGGGTCTGGCTGTCAGAAGACCCGCCCTTCCTCATTCGGCATCTGCCTCCTGTGCCCCTCCCCCTCCTCACCAGGGTGTCTCCAGCCTTCACCACCATCTTTCTCCCTCCGTGCGGGTTTGCAGCTGCAGTTCTGCTGAGCTTGCTAGGTGGAGTCGGGAGAAGTTCAGCCTGGAGCATCTTCCTTTGCTGCTTGGCCGTGGGAAGAATCCGCGGATCTCTTTCCAACTCTTCTCTTGCTCCAGGAAAGTAAATTAGGGATCTTACTCCTCGCCCTCTTTTACTTGACTTCCCCGTTCCCCACAGAGGGGGGCTAGGGGCCTACAGTAGCAAACCCTGAGGGGCTCACTCACCAAGATGGCTTCTTATCCCGCTATGATTTTCCCAGTGGTTCCTTCCTGGGAGTTCAAGGGTAGCCTTGAGACCCAGGGGAGTCCATCCCAATGTCACCTTCTATAAAACGGAGAACTAAAGGAGCACATGTATTAAGAGCCTTAGATCAATGGCTTTGTGACTGAGTCAGGATGGGGACCGTGGCCATGAGTAAGCTAAGGTTGGGGGGTGTGGCAGACAGGAAGGCCAGTGAATAGGAAAGGTTGTGTTCTCCACAGGTGCTGGGGACAGGAATGTCTTACCTCTCTCCCTGCTGCATGTATCCATATGTGTGTGTAGGGGCTATTCCTAAAGAGACAGAAGAGCAAGCAGTTGAAAAAGGGCAAGGGAAGCTTCTCGTAGAACCAAGGTGGGAGTTGGGAGTCCCAACCTGAATAAAAGATAAGCAAATCAGTATCACGAAAAAGCTCTGGAATCATGAGAAGGGGCTCAGGCTGATGCTTAGATCCGGATTCTAGTGGCAGCTCTGCCAGTTTGTGACCTTGGATAAGTCACTTGGCCTCTCTGTAGAGCCTCAGAGTCTTCATAGAGCAAATAAGAGGATTCATTTATTTAACGAATATCTGCTCAGTGCCAACTCTGAGCCAGGTACCATTTTAGGCATGGAGATTCAGATGTGAGCAAAGCAAACAAAAATCTTTGTTCTTACCAAGCTTTCTTTCTCGTCAGAGGATTGAACTAGAGGGGGCTTCTCCAGTTCCTTCCAGTTGTATAGTTCTGTGGCTTCTTAAGAAAAACTCTTTTCTGTAGAATTGCAGGGTGATGAAGGGAAATGAACCAAGTAGGGAGCCTGGATGGGTTAGGGACGGAGGGAAGAGATGAGAGCTGAAAGGACTGTGTGGGGAGTTTGATGGGGAGGGGAAGGCGAGCAGCTGAGGGACAGGGTGAGTCTTGTGTTTAAGACAAGTGTGTCCTAGATGCTATGAGACTGACAGTAGCCTTACTGGCTGTGGGGAGGGCAGGGAGAGGGGCTGCATAACTGCCTCAGACAAACGTTCTTTGCCCACAGACCCCACCATCCCCACCTCTGGCCCAGATGACCCCTCTCCTGCCAGCCTTGGGAAGCCTTCGGTGCAGCCAGAGTGTGGGTCAGGGTCCTGCAGCGTTGGAGAATTGCCTGAACGCGAGGGGCAGCCTCCTGTGGCCACGCTGCCCCTCTTCTTCCTGACCCTGGAGGCCGACTGGGCAGAGGCCAGAGCCCGCTGGGGGCTGGCCTGGGAGGCCCACGTGTACGGGGTAGGCACGCTCTTCGGCCTGGTGGCCCTGCTGGCGCTTCTGGCCCTAGCCCTTTTGCCCTGGCGCTGCCCGCCGGGCGCCCCCTGCCTGGCGCTGCTGGACCTGCTCCTGCTCTCGGCCGGGACCACGCGGGCCTTCCCGCTCTTCTACGATGCCTATGGGCACCGCGACCGGCTGCCCCCGCTCGCCTGGCTGCTACTGCAGGACCTTCCGCTGCCCTGCCTGGCCGCCGGCCTGGGCCTGGCCTGCCTGCTGCTGGCCCGGCCGCGCCCGCCGCGGTGTCCCGCCGGGCTGGCCGCGCTGCTGCTCCTGGGGCTGGGCCTGGCGGCCGCCGCCGCCCTCGGGAGCGCAGCCCACCGCCCGCTGCGGCCCCTGCGGCTCGCCTCCCGCGGGCTGCACGCCTTCCTCGCCGCCCTCCTTTCCGGCCTCCTGCTGGCGCTCTCCTGCTGGGGGGGACGGCGGCGGCGGGCCGGAGCGCCCCTGGGAGGGTCTGGCTTCAAGGGCGCCACCCCTCTCCCGCAGGCGCGCAGCCCCTTCGCCCCGCGCGAGTCTTGGCGGCGCGCCGCCCGCACAGCCCCGGTGGCGGGCACCTTCGGGCTGCTGAGCGGAGCCCTGCAGGGCTACGAGGTGCTGCACGCCCTGGGCTATGGCGGCCAACCTGGCCTGGAGGGACCCTGGCCCTGGTGGGCCTTCCAGCTAGGCCTGCGCTTGGGCGAGGTGGGCGTCGCGCTCCCGTTGGCGCTGCTGGGCCTCTACCCGGCGCTCTGCAGCCCCCGGGTGCCGCCGCGCTGCTGGGCCAAGCTCTTCCGCCTGTCCCCGGGCCACGCGGCCCCCCTGCTGCCCGGGGGCTGGGTCACCGGGCCCCCAGACAAGGAGCCCCTGGGGGGCGCCATCGCGCGCGGCGACGCGGAGCTGCTGCAGCTGTGCGCCCTGGCAGGGCCGGGCCCGGACCTCCTACTCCAGGGAGGCGGCTGCCGGGGCTTTGACGGCGCGGCGGCCAACCCGGCCCCTTCTCCGGCCTCCTCCCCCTGCAGCGATTACACCGTGGATTTCCGCCCGCCCTCCCCCATCAACCTGCGGCGCAGCATTGAGGAGGCCTTGTGCAGCGAGGCCCTGCTCGCGCCGGGCCTCTTCCAGGGCCCTGCCTACGGGGAAGCCTTGCCTGGGCTGGGCCTCTACCGCACCACCTCGTTGGGGGCGAAGACGGGGGCCGGACCCAACGGGAGGTCCGAGGAGGCACTTGGCTCTCCCGCGCCGCAGGAGCTCCCCTCCCCCGGGGCCTGGCCCGCGGGCAGCAGCGCCTCTTCAGGCTCACTGTGTGGACTTTCGAGGGACAGCTCGTCCATGCTGCTATGCTCCAGCCCCGACAGGCCTCCACGCTGTCCGCTGGTCTGCGTCCTCAGTCCCCCGCGGCCCTCAGGAAGCAGCCCGAGCCTCCCGGGCTCAGGCTCCTACCAGGCCCTCTCCCCGCCCTCCCGCGACTCCCCAGAGCCTACTCTTGAGCTGCAGGCTGCAGAGGCCTTGCTGCAGGAGCAATTCCTGGACGCCTGCCGACAGATCGACGAGCTGAGCGTGGGCAGCGACACCATAGACCTGTGAAGAGGCGCCCCCCACCCTGGGCGCAGCAGCCTACGCCCCCTCCTGGCGCCTGCTCTGCCTGAGACCTGCACACTGTAACCCATCCCCAATCCTGCCTGGCTCAGATACCTCTCCCCGCTTCCTTCCCCATCCAGGGGTCCCTGGGTGGGTGGGTCAGCAGCCAGGCTCTGTTGATTGGGAATTAGTGCCACCTCCTCTGGAGCCCTGGGCGCTGATGCCCTCAGCTGCAATTCTAGGCTGGCAGGGGTCCCACTTTCCTTGGCATTCACCAGCAATAAAGTCCCAAGGTGCTCCACTCCTGACCACCACTCCCCACCCTGGTGCTGAGTGAGAGGGGCTGTCCTCAGAGGACCTCGAGACTGGCTTCAGTCCCCATACCCACCTCTGCCACAGCCAGGAATCCCATTCCTGTATGAGTGAGACTCCCTGTCCTCCACATGATCCTTCCCCACAGAAGGGTCCGCGGCTCATCTGGGAGACTCTACAGCAGTTGGGTGTGAGGTGAGCGCTTTCAGAGTTAATTTATCAATAAAATATTTTCAGAGAAAGGTCTGATCTTCTTGGAAAAGCTTGGATGAGGCAACAACAGCGGCGGTTTCATCAGTTGTGGAAGAGAAGCAGTGTTTGGGTGGGGTGAGACCCCTGTGACCTTCCTTCCTGATGGCAAGGAGTAGCATGCTGTAGCTGGGATAAGTGAGGGTCCCAGGAGTGACCCCTCGAAGAGCCTCTGACTCTCTGGGAAGTGGCTTGTCAGAGGTGAGACAGGCCCTGAGAGGTGAGGCGGGAACTCTACAGTCATTGGTGGCAATATCTGCATTTCTAGGAGCCTGGTTGCAACGTTGTGGTGGACAGCTGGCTAGGGACTAGTTAGTGACAAAGTCCTTCATGGAAATGGTGATACTCATGTCAAGGGCTTGATCACTTGGAGCTGGGATCCCCAGCTATCTCCCTGCCATGTTGCAGAGGATTTTTGGATTCACAGAGGAAACTACCTGCTCCTCCTACCAACAGGGCCTCTTCAAGGTTCGACTCATAAGCTCTCTTCCCTTGCACTCATCTACCATAGGTGCAGGTCCTCCCTGAAGAAAGCCTATTTTCCCCAACCTCCAGCCCCATCTCACTCACCCAAGCAGAACTCGCCCATGCAGAGACCCAGGCCACTAGGCACTCTGCAACCCTTGTTCAGAGCATTTGGCCCTGAGCTCTGTAGAGTGCATTTGTCATTTGGCTAAAATGCGGGAAGTTCAGAGGGGCACCAAAACAGGGTCATAGATTAGGTTTGAAAATGAAAAACCTGCCAGTGCTTTGGCAGATGTCTTGCACATTACATGGAAACCTAGAGGGATGCAACGTATCAGGCTCCAAGTGGAAAAACAGGAATGGGAGTGATTTTTCTTCCAAGTCTGTCCATCAGCTCTTGGGGGTTTGAGAAGGAAGGCGGGGGAACCAGAGGGAAAGCAGGCAGGGAGGTCCGGAGGGGTGGGCCCTCACCAGACCAGTCCCATGCACTAGTGGAAAAATTAACGCACTGCTCTCCTTGCACATGGAGCTCTGTCTTGCCTGAGGGGGCGTGTCCGGGGTCTGGGACCTCAGAGGAAGGAAGAGTCAGTGATGTTTGGGGAGAGTGAGGGTCATAGTGGGGAAGACAGTGAGAGGGGGGTGGGACAGACCCCGCTGAGGGATGGAACTAGAGTGGTTTTGACCGTGTGTCCTCCATCACCTGGCTCAATTTGGCTCAGAAATTCTTGCTGCATCGTCACTCTGGGCTAAGGCCCAGAGAACTGCCAGCCTCCTAATTACAGGCATTTCTCACTGGTGTCGTAGCGGCTGTAGCAGACCCAGCATCGGAGCTGCTTTGTATCATGGAAGGAGTGCTTGCTGCTCGGATAAATTGCTCCCTTTCTTCCCCACTTACCCTTCCATCTGCCTCTGCTCACTCTCAACTCCTCTTGGCCGCCTCTTCCTCACCCTAATGCTTGCCAGCCTGCTCATTCGCTCTTCCCACCAGGGGCCTCAGGGTTCATGCACACACAGGCTCCGACAGAGCAGTCCAGGCCCACATACCCCCAGTCAGTCAGTCTGTCTGTCTGTCTCTCCTCCCTACCCCCCATACACACATTCCTTTTCTGTTCAGAAGCTCTGAATGGGGCTGGTGAGATGAAGAGGAGGAATACACTCAGTGTTCACCAGCTGCAGCACTTCTTTGGTTTTCCCCAGCAACAATGACCTTGGCCCTTCGACTTTATAAAGAGGCCAATGCTTTGGGGAGACAACCCTTCCCTTTTGTCCCATGCCTCGGCCCTTACCCAAACCAGGTTTCCCAGGTAGATCCTAATGCATACACCTTTCAGTCCTAGCTCTTAGTACTGCAGGGGACTGAGACAGACTCACCCTCGTTTATTCAATGTCTTTAAAACATTTTATTGAATGCTTACAACGTGCTAGGTGCTGGAGAGAGGTGAACTAGGTGGACACCAGCCCCGAACTTATGAACTTGAAGGTCTTTGGGGGAAGGCAGACATCGAACAACTAATCATAGGGGTACCCTGGGGGGCTCAGTTGGTAGAGCATGCGACTCTTAATCTTGAGGTTTTAAGTTCGAGCCCCATGTTGGGTGTAGAGATTACTTAAAAACAAAATACTAAATAAAAGAACTAATCATATAAGTAATTACAATAGCACCAACCACAGTTGTGAGAAGTGCTAAGAACAAGAAGTAAGTGGTATTATAAGGTTTGGCTTGCAAAGGGGAAATAGAACCAGCGAGATGGGGCCTGGGAGAGGCTGCCTGGGAGAGAGCACAGCCCAGGCCTTTCTTACTGCCTTTCCGGGCTGCTGCACAGTGATGGATGAGAGAGAAGCCCACAATTTATTTCCCCTGGAAGCCACGTTGCTGATGTGGTGCAGGGCACCACAACTCCTGCTATTTAATAAAGAACGCTGCGTGTGTCCTGGGTAGATGGATGAGCAAATATTCCTGACTGAAGCACCACGTGCCTCCCCGATGTGAATGGATTGGACGGGAGGGGCTGAGGGTGAGGCCGGGAGCCAGGTCGAAACTGGGTATCGGAAATTGTTGTCCTCCCTTGGGGACACAACAGCCCTCTGCATTGTGGGTGGCTGCTGCCCCCTGTTGGGCACACGCGCACAGTTTTGTTTTGTTCTCTAAGAAAGGTCTGAATGAGAAGTGTATTTAAACCAGCATTTGTAGGGACATCCCAAAGTGATGTTGGAACAGCCTTCCTAGAGTTCTTTTCCTGCTTCTACTGCAGCCTGCACTGGGAAGGCCTCCCTAGAGCTAGGGCCCTGAAGCTTGCAGTTTCGTTTTTGGGGATAGGATTTTTATTTCTAAAGTGGTGAGTGGGCAGGAGAGGAGGAGACAACAAGAGGGAGGAATGTGGAATCCCAAACCAACTTTATTCAAATGACCCCCCTTGCTTCTTTTGTCTATTTGTCTCTGTTTATCCTGGATAGGATTAACCCCATAGCCTTAAAAATCTGTTTTGTATTTCGGTACTTCCTCTCCTGAGTTATGTGTTTAAAAATAACCGGCATTTTCTTTTGAGCATACACTATTTACTTGGAGCTATGGCTTCATAAATCTAATGTTAACTGCTCTCCCTTCCCGCCCCCCCCCCACCCATTACTATCAACCCGTCATCCCATCTATCCAAAATGTAGTGAAAGCAAATGGGGTTTGAAGAGAAAGGGAAACTTACTTTTCACTGTACCTTTTGTACCTTTTGAATTTTCTACTTACTATATGTTCAGGTTATACCATTTAAAAGTAATTAATGAGGGGTGCCTGGGTAGCTCAGTGGGTTAAGCTAAACGTTCAAATTTGGTTCAAGTCATATCTCAAAGTTCATGGGTTCCAGCCCCGCATTAGGCCTTTCTGCTGTCAGCGTGGAGCCCACTTTGGATCCTCTGTCCCCACTGTCTCTCTGCCCCTCCCCCCTCTCTCAAAAATAAGTAAACATTAATAAAAGAAAAGAAAAGAAAAGAAAACTAATTATTGAGAAAGTGCACTGCAGGGTCCTGCAGTCTTGCACACAGGTTGGTTCCTGAACTCAATGAAATGGCAAATGGTCTCTGCCTTCCAGGTTCCAGGACCACTCAGGTTTCCCGCGGGTCAGTGAGATCCCTCAGCCTTGGGTCTGACCCATAAACTGACCTGAGGGAAGGTCTTCTCTCTCTGGAAGGACCTGCCTTCTGGGTCTGTGTGTATATGTTATGTTTGCTTTGGGTATGTACCTACGTTATCTTGTAGCGTGCATGCTATGATTTATTTGTCCAGTTTTTAGAGGAATGTCTGTCTACCCTACTAGACTTGATGCTCCATGAGAGCAGGGACTCTCTTTTATTAGCTCACCGATTTTATCCCTAGTATCTGGCACATAGTAGGAGCTCAGTAATTATTTATTGAAAGAATGATTGTGTACCACCTGTGTCTGTGTGTGTTTTGGCAGCTATATTTTGTCTGTGAAGTGTCATAGGCACCGTTTTAGTTATCTGTTACAGTGTGACAGATGCCTCATATTCTCTGAGAATGTAAGAATTGTTTGAATGATGTGTTTGATGTATGCATCTATGTGCATTTTGGTTGCACTTTATACACATAATCTGGGAGTCTGTGGTGGCAGTAAAGAAAGTATTTATATGTGAGGCCTCGAGCAAAAAACGACTTCCTCTGCCTGCCGTGGTACTTTGGGATCGGTAATTCTGGAAGCGAGATTTTAAACTGGTTAGGAGCGGGGCGCCTGGATGGCTTAGTACGTTGAGCGGCGGACTTCAGGCCAGGTCGTGATCTCACGGTTTGTGAGGCTTGTGAGTTCGAGGGATCTCACGGTTTGCGAATTCCAGCCCCGTGGGGCTCTGTGCTGACAGCTCAGAGCCTGGAGCCTGCTTCCTATTCTGTATCTCCTCTCTCTGCCCCTACCCTGCTCACACTCTGTCTCTTTCTTAAAAAAAAAATCAACAACAACAAAATAAATAAACTGGCTAGGAGCTAGCGATTCCTGTTCCTTCGAATTCCCATGGGGTGTGGGGGGCAGGGGGCCAGTACTGGGACTAGGGGTGGAGCCCCGCTAGAGAGGCTCCGCCCCTGGGCGGCACTTTTTTCCCCCCCCCCACCCCCATCCCGGAACGTATTTTACCCCTTCCCACCATATTTTCGTCCGGACTCTTTTGAGTGACGAGCACTTCCGGAATCACGGGCCAGCTTGGCGTGGTTGGCCTGCTAAAGGCAGCACTTTTACTCGCGTGCACGGGTCGCGTTTGCTTGTGGTCTCCCGCGCCTCTGCTCCCCAGCCTCATGGCGGGGCTGACCCTGTTTGTAGGCCGCCTTCCGCCCTCGGCCCGCAGTGAGCAGCTGGAGGAGCTGTTCAGTCAGGTGGGGCCGGTGAAGCAGTGCTTCGTGGTGACTGAGAAAGGTAGGGGGCGGGGCTGTCGAGGCTAGGGCTGGGGTTCCTGGGAGCGGGATCCGGGCCGGGCCTCCCAAACTACAGGGACCGTAGACTTCTTTACCCGCCCGTGTGAGAAGGGTCGGGGAATTGAGTTTCTTTTTAAACTGACTCGGCTCTGGATGGGTCCAGAGGTCCGATTCTGAGAGTCAAGGCATGGCCTTAAGATTTACAAAGCGCTTTGCGTTATTCGCGTTCACATATAAGATCTCCTTTGGTAACAGTGAAAGAGTTAACTTTTAATGAGTGAAACTTGTTGAGAGTCACCTGAAACGGTGCTGAATTCCACACGTGTTAATCTCATTTAATTTTCTCAACAGTCTTGTTGGGTGGAGAAGCTTAACCTCATTTTACAGACAGGAGTCTTGGGGCTTAGGGAAATTTGGTAGCTTTAATTTAGGTTCATACAGCTTGGAAGTAATGGATCCAGAATTTGTTCACGAGACCCGGAGCTCCTAACTAGTATGTTATTCATTTACTCATTTATTCAGTAAATATTTTTTGGATGTCTGTTATGTATTAGGCACTGTTGTAGGGCCTGAGGATACAGCAGTGCACCAAACCAAGCCAAAAAAACTTGCTCTTAAGTTTTCAAGATGAGGAAGACAGCCAATAAACAAATAGGCAAAATATGTAGTGACAGGTTCGGCTGGATAGCTCAGGTAGTTAAGCATCTGACTTCGCCTCAGGTCATGGTCTCAAGGTTCCTGGGTTGGAGCCCCTGTCTGCTGTATGCTGACAGCTCGGAGCCTGAAGTCTGCTTCAGAGTCTGTGTTTCCTTCTCTCTGGCTCTGCTTGTGTGTGCTCGCTCTCTCTCTCTCTCTCTCTCTCTCTCTCAAAAATAAACATTTATATATATATACACACACACATACACATAGTGATAATGGTGGTAAATACTAAGGAGAAAAATAAAGAAGGATAAGGAGTCTCTGTGTAGGTGAGTGTGTGGGAGGTGGGTTGCAATGGGGTGAGGAATGGCAGTTATCTATAGATAGGGTAGCCAGGGAAGGCCTTCCTGAGATAAGGGAGTGAACATGTGTCTGGAGGGAGGAGGAAGAGTCTAGGCAGCGGAAATGGTAAGCTCAAGGATAATGAAGAGGTCTACTCCTGGTATATTGAAGGAATAACAAGGAGAGCAGGATGACAGAATAAGTGATTGAAGGTAAGAGATGAGATTCTAGGGTACCAGATCATGTAGGACCTATTGCAAGGACTTTGGCTTTTACTCTGAGATAAGAAACTACTAGTTTTGAATAGGGAGCAGTAAGTATGATCTGGCTTACATTTTAAAAGATACTCTGAGGCCGCCATTGGAGAATAGGACAGAAGCAGGGAGACCAAATAGTAGGCTCTTGGAATAATCCAGGTGAGAAATGGGGAAGGTTGGACCAGGATGGTAGCAGCGGAGGGTAAAAAGTGATTGGAATATGGATATTTTCAAAGGTAGAACCGAGAGGATTTGCTGATGAATGAGATGCGGGGTATGAGAAGAGGAGTCAAGGAGTTAAGTGTAACTCCCAAGAATTTTGGCTTAAGCCACTGGAGTTACTTGCTTATTTGTGGACTACTGCTCTATGGCTCATATTCTGTGTGATGCTCGTTGCATCACTAGAAGGAAGAGTTGTCATGTAGTAAGAATTGTAAGAAGCGATCCTTCCTCTGAACCTAAACTTCAGAGACACTTGAGATAGGCACCTGATGTTATATTTCGCTCCCTTCTAAGTCATCAGTCTGTCTCTGTAAGTGGCTGCTTCTTTTGCCTTGCAGCAGAACAACTGGTGGAAACTGGCATTTTGAGGACCCCTGTTTCCGCCCATGGTATCTGTGTATGTGAGTCTGCAGGCTGTGTGCTAATAACCCTCCATCATTAATTTCTGTTAGTAACAGAGGTTAGAGTTAGGATTGTCGACGTGGCTCCGATTGCTATACAAGCCATGACACCAGCCTGGTTCTTTGTCATTTTAAGCATGGATATGGGTGAGTGAGAGACCACAGGGCTCAACAGCAGTGTTTCTTCAACTGCAGATCATTACCCATTAGTGGGTCTTGAGTGGGTCAATAATTTTTTAAAATAGAATGTATCTATACATGGTAAAGTACACTCATAAAGCTTCCTTTTCTTTTTTTTTTTTTTTAAGATTTTAAGTGATCTCTACACCCAGTGTGGGGCTTGAACTTAACAACCACATTATCAAGAGTTGCACGCTCCACTGACTGAGCCAGCCAGGCATCCCTTTGGTTTTATTTAAAGAGGGCATATGTGTACTGGGTTCTACTATAAGTGATATTGATTACTGTGTGTTGTCAAAACAGTTTGAGAAACACTACTGCCCAGTGCCTGGTGGTTCTGTCCCAGGAAAGAACAGGCCATTGAATGGGAATTCTCTTTCAAGTCCTCAGAATATAGCCAGGGTATCACCTTATCTTGTATTCTGTGTATGTGGTCTAAATCTTAAAAAATACAAAGCTTTGTTCCCTGTTTAAAACACTGTATTTTTCTGTCCAGAGAGCCAAGATGTGTTGGAAAGAGTGTTGCACTTAGTGGGGTGGGAACAAGGGGGGTTGGGGGGTGGGTTAGGATGAGGTCTTAGCAGCGGTGACTTGGGCATGTCAGTTCACCTCTTTAAGATGGGAATAATTTTACAGGATGTTTGTGAGAATTCAAGTAAAATATAGTGCTGTGTGTAGACGTAAACAGTGAATTGCATTTGTTGTGAGCACACATTAATTTTGGTACCGAACTGCTTTATGTTTCAGCTGCTTTGTTTTTGGTTGTACTGATCAGGAAGGGGCCCTGATTTTTCTTGTTCTAATTTTCGCACTGTGAGTGGGCAGGCTTTTTTGAGGAGTTCCGAGAGAAAAGACACCAATCTCCAGATCACAGTATACTTTCCTATTGCAAAGTGTCAGCTTTAACCAGTTTATGTGGATCAGATCCTGTGTTTGAGGGCTTTTACCTTGAAGTAGCTTCCAGTGAAATTCAAAAAGAAGCAGAGCATGTGTTTCTTCTTCGGGTCTTAGGCAGACTACTTGGTCTGTCTTTTTCCTTTTTGATGCAGTAAATGACTTAACATTTTAGTACACAAAAATGTCCAGATACATACCAAAAAGGGCAAAGGTGGGTTACAGTTTCTATTTGCAACTATTCATCTGGTTGGTCCTAATATTCTTCTCTGTGGCCTTTATATTGGTGGAGTTCCATGGAAAGAACATGGGGCTCGTCATGAGGAATTAATTCAGCTACTAACACTCTGATGCGTTAACCAGTTCACTTACTTTCCTCCATCTTAAGTTAGTTATTTAGAAAGAAGGGATGGTAGTATTCAGTTTACCTATCTTAATGTGGTTCTGAAGATAAAAGTGAGATAAGAGATTTACAGCTAGTTTGAAAAGGTTAAATTTGAGATTGATTGCTAAGGCTTGGTAATAATGGTAATAGTATCTGCAGGCTCCCGAAGCCACGCTTATTTATTGAGGTTCTTTCATCAGGGCCCCAGGCATTAATTTCTGATCTGCATTCTCTTGTTTTCAAAGCTACTATACTTACCTTTCCCACCTTCTCTGGTGATGTCCCATTCTATTTGAAGTTGAGTTATTTACTGGGGATGTGATAGATAGCATGGATCTTCCATATTCTCAAGATGATCAAGAAAGGAGGAAGAAGAGGAGCTAATAGTGAAGGCACCAAATAAGAAGAGGAAGCCTGACAATTTCTGAACAAGTGGGGAAAGGGCCATGGATGCCAACCTCATTTTTGTCCCTCCTGAGACTTTTGGCAAACTAATAAATGGGATGGTCTGATAGTATATCTGCTAGTTTAGGGCATTGACAATTTGATGGTTTAATGGTCTCTGGGCTTATGGTTCTCCCCCTACCCTTACTGTCCAGGAAGTAAGGCATGTCGAGGCTTTGGCTATGTCACTTTTTCTATGCTGGAAGATGTTCAGAAGGCCCTCAAGGAGATCACCACCTTTGAAGGCTGTAAGATCAATGTGACTGTTGCCAAGAAGAAACTGAGGAAGAAGTCCAAGGAAAAGGGGGAAAATGGTGAGTTTTTAGTAACTTGAGGGAATTTTCCCTTAGGGTGAGGAAGAGGTCAGTGGTTGGGGAGATAGCTTCCTGAATTTCCTTTTTTTTTTTTACAGATAGTTTATTGTCAAGTTGGTTTCCATAAAACACCCAGTGCTCATCCCCACTAGTGCTCTCCTCCATGCCCATCTCCTCCCTCCCCCCCTCCCCACACCCATGAGTCCTCAGTTTGTTCTCAGCATTCAAGAGTCTCTCATGGTTTGCCTCTCTCCCTTTCCCCCACCATTTCTCCCCTTCTTCTCCCCCATGGTCCTCCGTTAAGTTCCTCCTAATCCTCCTATATGTGCAAACATATAATATTTATCCTTTTTTGCCTGATTTCGATCAGCATAACACCCTCAAGGTCCATCCATGTTGCTACACATGGCCAGATTTCATTGTTTCTCATTGCCATGTAGTATTCCATGGTATAGCTAAACCACATCTTCTTGATCCATTCGTCCGTTGATGGACACTTAGGCTCTTTCCATGTTTTAGCTATTGTGGAGAGTGCTGCCATGAACATTGGGGTACATGTGCTCCTCTGCATCAGCATTTCTGTATCCCTTGGGTAAATTCCTAGTAGTGCTATTGCTGGGTCATAGGAGAGTTCTGCTGTTAGTTTCCTGAGCTGAATTTCCTTCTCATGTCCAAAATCATCTAATGTATTTTATTACTCATTTTTGTCTTTTATTCAATTCTAACTTCAGAAATCTGGTGGTCCTGGGTGTTGCCATACTTAATCCCGTGGGAAATGCCATCTTTTGCTAGTAGCTTCTTTCCTGTGATGTTCTGGGCCTAGAGGTTGGTGGTTTGGGATCACAGACTTATTCTTTTGCCTCTTACTTTTTTTTTTAGAAAATTCAGAGTCCCCAAAGAAGGAGCTGAAGCCAAAAAAACCCAAAGTGGCTGATAAGAAAGCCAGATTAATTATTCGGAACCTGAGCTTTAAGGTGAGTGACAGAGAAAACTAACACTGCCTTTTCTGAAGGCTGTTGGTGCTCATTGTTTGAACTCCTCACAAGGATGGTCTAATTGGACATTATTCCTTCTGGGAATGAATCTTAGCTTTGTTGGATACCGAAAGTGGGCCTGTATAAGCAAGAACTAATTAAGGATAGTAAGTGTGAAGCTGCCTTCCTTTTGGGACACTACTACTGAGGCAGGGATGGGGGAGGAAGAGCTCTTTGAAGTCCTCTTTGTCTTTTAGGTACAAAGCAAGATGTCTTCCATTCAGAAATGTTTGCTGTCCTAGTCTCAAAAGTAAAAGAGTAAAAATATTTAGCCTCTTTGTGATGAACTAATTTAATGTTGATGTTTCATGTCTGTTTTCTGTGATAATACTTCTTTTCCTTCATTTTGGTGTCAGTGTTCAGAAGATGACTTGAAGACGGTATTTGCTCAGTATGGAGCTGTCCTAGAAGTGAACATCCCCAGGAAGCCAGGTATTAGCAGACCTTCATCTGTTGTGAATTAGATTAAGATTATTTAACATAATGGTCTTTTTCCTTTTCACACTTGAACTAACCATTATTTGAAATAGGAATACAAGGTTCATGTCATAGGTCACACTCGTGAGCCCCAGATGATGGGATATATGTATATAAAGTATCAGGCACATGCTTGACACAGCAAAAACTCCAAAGTACTGCTTATTTCCTAGATGGCATTTTTAGGTAGATTAGAACTAGTTTTAGAAGACAAGTTAGAGTCTAGGAAATTGCATTGCTCTCCCCAAGCTTGAGTCCCTCAGCAGGACATAAACTATTGCTTTGGGGCTGACTGGTTGGCAGGACTTGGGCCATCTTGCCAGCCCAGGTTGCTGTGATGCCCTTCTTGGTGTTTGTTGGCTCCTCACTTGCTGCCTCTAACTTCTTTGTACATTTGCACATAGATGGAAAGATGCGCGGTTTTGCTTTTGTCCAGTTCAAAAACCTCCTAGAAGCAGGAAAAGCTCTCAAAAGCATGAACATGAAAGAGATAAAAGGTAAGTTTTCTATATCCACACTGTTCACCCAGATATTTCTGGTGTTTGGGCGAATTAGCACAGTAACCCGCTTTGTACATTTTCAAAAGGTGTTTGAATTGTTGAGAGTCTTACTGCTAATATAGATGCTAAATATTCCTAGTGCTTGATCTTAGGGTTCAGCTTGAAAGGACCCATGACATTATTCACTTTTCTTTATTTGGTTATGAGTGTGCATTTAAATCCTTAATGGAAAAATGTCCTTGAAATAATCACTGATAGATGCAGCTTGCTGTCTAGGGGATGTGGGATTTGCAGGTTTCTCCCTCTAGGTCTTGATCACTATTCAGCACCTGGGGGCTGTCAAACTGACTGTGAGGGCACTCAGGGTGTTCATTTACCAGGCACTAAAGAAGGGCTTGGTTTAGAGACTTTGTAACTTCTGTGTAGATTGCAGATTATTCCAGATATTTGTTTTACCTCTTGCTTAGTCTAACTGGAAACTTGTCTAACTGGCAGCACTCTTCCCATTCTTTCTTTCTTTCCTCCCTCTCATCCCAGGTGCCGAGGTTGTGTAGAAAGGTGAAATAACTGCTTCGTGATAAAGAGCTTAAAGTTTAGGGGCGCCTGGGTGGATTAGTTGGCTAAGTGTCTGACTTCGGCTCAGGTCATGATCTCATGATTCGTGAGTTCATGTCCCACCTTGGGCTCTGTGCTGACAGCTCAGAGCCTGGAGCCTGCTTCAGATTCTGTGTCTCCCTCTCTCTCCGACCCTCCCCTGCTCACACCTGTTTCTTTTTCTCAAAAATAAAGAAATAAAAAATAAATAAAAAGCTTAACTTTTAAAAAGGATAGGCTACTCTGAGCTTTGTTTCAGGACGAATAGGCTATCAGCAGTGTCTTTGTCTGTTTCGGTTCCATCACTGTCTTTGATGAGTCGGAAATCAGTTATAAGAGGTTAAAGAGAGGAAGACCTTTCTGGTGCTACTTTTCTGTCTGACAGGGCGGACGGTGGCTGTGGATTGGGCTGTGGCAAAGGATAAATATAAGAATACACAGTCTGCCTCTGGACCAGGTAAGACGGGGTGGTGTTGGGCAGGAGGGATTGTATGTCCTGAGGTCAGTGTGGAAACAACTCTCTCTATGGTAAAATTATAAGGGAACCTGCTAGTCAGTAAGAATTTTGGGTCAAAGATACCAAAAGCACAAGATGAACGGAAGGAATGGACTGAGGATTAAGAAAAACTCTGAATTCTACAGGCTCAGACATGAGCCCATAGCTGTTTGTTGATTCATCTGGTAATCTAGTCTCAAAACATAGGATCGTTTGAATGTAAGCCCACTCCTGGGTGTGGACGTGAGTGAGCAGTGGGGCCCGAGTTCATTTTCTCCTCTGCTGGCTCTCTTTCTCCAACTCTTCATAATAGAGAGTGAAGGAATATTATGAATAGGGAAGCTGAAAACCCAAGTTTTAATTAGAAAACAGTTGGCTTTTAAGCCACCAGGAACTCCGAAAACAGAACTCACCGAGGGTAAGGTTGTTGCCCGGGCTCCACGGTGAGCCCTCTGCCGGCAGCAGTGCACGGTGGCCGGCTGTTTGCGGAGGCTCAGTGGCTCCTCTTTTCGTTCCGAGCCTGATTTTCCCTCAGGCTTCTGATGAGGGACAGGCTTCCAGGTGATCTCCGTGGTGAGGGGGTTTTGTTGTTTTGGCTTTTTTCCTTCATGCTTTCTCTTATATACAGTAAGAAAAATATTGGGGGAAAATGCAATTGAAGTCCTAGTCCCAAGGAACTTGAGGTGTTAGTTACTCTTGTTCAAATAACCTTGTTTTGGATACTAAATGAATTCCTGACTGGCTTTACCTCCATGTGTAGGTGAGGAGAAGAGGCTTGAACCTAAACCGCAGGAATTAGGTAAAGAGAATGGCAGGGAAGAAGAGGATATGGAAGAGGAAGAGGATGATACAGAAGAGGAAGAAGATGAGGAGGAGGAGGGGGAAGAGAATGAAGAATCAAGGGAGACCAAGCCTACACAAATTCAAAAGAAGTAAGCAGCTCAGCTTGTTTGAGACAATGGAGGAAGATGAAGGATGGTCGCTGGGAGGAGCAGTGTCTTCCCTGCCCCCGTCACCGCAGCGGCCACGTGTGTGATGAAGTTGGCTGGGGTTAGAACCTAACCTTGTCAGCTGTGAACTGTGCCGTTGCAGAGCCGCCAGGAGGGCGCCAGCTGTGGAGAGCAGTGAGGAGGACCATTCCGACGGGGACAGCGACCTGGGGGAAAGTGCTAGCATGGACAGTGGAGAGGAGCTGCCTCCGAGTGATGCCAGCAGCGAGCAGCAGGATGACGAAGGTTTGCCTGGGATCTGTGTAGACACCTTTACACTTAAAATCTGTTCCTGGGGGTGCCTGGGTGGCGCCTTTGGTTAAGTGTCTGATCATTTGGGCTCAGGTCACGATCTTGTGGTCCTTGAGTTCAAGCCCCACATCAGGCTCTGTGCTGACAGCTCAGAGCCTGGAGGTTGCTTTGGATTCTGTCTCCCTCTCTCTCTGCCCTTCCCTCACTTGTGCTTTGTCTCGCTCTCTTTCAAAAATAAGCATTAACTGGGGCACCTGGGTGGCTTAGTCGGTTAAGCGTCCGACTTTCGCTTATGTCATGATCTCGCGGTTCGTGGGTTCGAGCCCCGCGTCGGGCTCTGTGCTGACTGCCAGCTCAGAGCCTGGAGCCTGTTTCAGAGTCTGTGACTCCCTCTCTCTCTGACCATCCCCTGCTCATGCTGTCTCTCTCTCTCTCTCTCTCTCTCTCCCCCCTAGAAATAAATAAAACATTAAAAAAAATTTTTTTTAAATAAGCATTAAAATTTTTTTTTAAAATAAAATAAAATCAGTTACTGAGAAATGTGCATCAGTTCAGTGCAGGTCTCTTTTTAAATAGGATCTTAACTTATGTTCTGTCAGATGTGCTAAAAAGGATACCTTATATTCCTTCTAAAGATTTTTGTTTTTTTTATTTTTGTTTTATTTATTTTTTTCTTTCATAGTTTATTGTCAAGTTGGTTTCCATATAACACCCAGTGTTCATCCAAACAAGTGCCCTCCTCCATGCTCATCACCCCCCTTCCCCTCTCCCCCACCCACAACAGCCCTCAGTTTGTTCTTAGCATTCAAGAGTCTCTCATGGTTTGCCTCCCTCCCTCTTTGTTTTTTAAATAAGTTTGGCATGGTGTTTGAGAGTTAAGATTCTCAGGGAACTTAAAACCTGGCTTAACGCTGAGGTACTATCTCTCTTTTGCGTGCCCAACATGAATGAATACACAGGATATTGTGTCCTAACACCGAGGTGGGTTTTAAACAACTTTTATGAGTTAAGATGGGGGTAAAGGACCTCTTGGGGGGATTTTGTAAACTGTAATCAAACTCTGTTGCTACCTTTGTAAAGACTGTTGGGTGTAAACTCAACTTGTTTATTGAAGAAGACAGGTCATTACAGAATAAGGGATGGCCAGTAACTGATTCTTTAGGTTAAGTCTGGCATACTGGTTTGGCCACATTAAAAAATCTGAAGAAATAAGCTGTTTCCATTAGGAAAGAACGGTAGAACCTTAGAATCAAAGAAGCTTGTGTACTGAGGGGACTGTCTGTGAACAGCCAGGTTTACCTGTCTCTTACCATTCTTTACCTTGAAAAAATTATTGGGCCAGTACATAATGCAGAAAATTTAAAAAGTGCAAAAGCGTGTAGTATAGAGTATATCGGGGCGCCTGGGTGGCTTGGCTGAGCATCCGACTCTTGACTTCAGCTCAGGTCACGATCCCAGGGTTGTGGGATTGAGCCCCGCATTGGGCTCTGTGCTGAGCCTCCGTCTCTCTCTCTCTCACCTCTTACACCTCTCACCCCTCTCACCCCTCTCACACCTCTTACCCCTCTTACCCCTCTTACCCCTACCTCCCCCCTCCTCCTCTGCCCCTCCCCTGCTCATGCATACTCTCTCTCAAATTAAAAAAACGTTTCTCACCAATCCCCCAAGAGTCCCTCAAAGTAACCACGGTTGTTTCTTTTATATTGTTTCAGAAATTTTCTATTTATATTTAAGCATATATGTCCGTTTTTAAAAACGGTGAGTCTCCCTTGTACCCCATGTACCCCACCACTTAGGGCCCCTCTCTAGAGAAAACCAATACTAAATGTTTCGTGTGTATCTATTTAATACCTTTGTAAGCAAAAACAGATGCGTGGACACATGTCCAATATAGTGTATCCTTGTGTGTGTGTAAATGTGTATTTTTTTCTCTTCAAATATTCTAAATGTTTATACCATCACGATAGTATATATGAATGTCTTTTTCCCCACACCCTTACCACATTGGATTTCATTAGGTTTTTTTGGTTTTTGCTAATCTGTTGGAATGAAAAATAGCATCTTATGTCTTGTGCTATGTTTTTCTTATATGAGTAAGTTTGAGGATCTTTTCAAGTATTTAGTTGTGTATTCTTTGTTCACTTTTAACTACATTTTTTCTTATTCGTTTATGTAAGATTTTTATATATCTATGAAGTAGCCCCTTGTCATGTGTGTTGTACTAAGTCTTTTTCATTTGTTGCTTTTCTTTTTACTTTAGATGTAAAAGTCTCAAAGAAAAAGAAGAGGAAGTTGCCCTCTGATGTGAATGAAGGAAAGACTGTGTTTATCAGGTATGCCTCGGTACCTTGAGAACTGCGGCTTCTGTTGTCTGCACAGGGTTTTCTTTTCTCCTTTCTTCCTTTCTTCTTTCTATCTCTCTCCCTTTTTTAAAAAAAGATTTTATTTTTGAGTAATTTCTATACCCACCGTGGGCCTTGAACTCACAACCCTGAGATCAAGAGTCGCATGGTCTACCAGCTGAGCCAGCCAGCTGCCCCACTCTCTCTCTCATTTTTTTTTTTTTTTTCGGTACTAGTTCTTCTAGGTAAGCCAGGAAATTAGATGTCGCTAAGACCATTAATGTATCTGGCCCTAAGAATATAGTAAACAGTGAGAATTTAGGAGAATCAGAACTATATACAGAAGATAGATAAATAGCAAGGATCTTCATATTTTATCCTCATTTACATTTCATTCTTTGTAATTTGGATAGCATCATTTGGAATAAATCAGTTCTTCAACTGTTAGAAACATCTTGCTTCTGTCCTTTGTTTTAGGGGAAGTACTGGGGAGGGGTGATATCACTTGTCCCCAGTAATTTCTCTCTTGCCAAACTTACCTTTATCCAGAATGAAGTAAGGTATCCCATCTGTTTCCAGGGAAACTTAAGGAGGGAGTCAGGTGGAAATAGATTTTATTTAATGTGGCCATTGCCGTTTTAGTCCCACTGACTGTGATAGATTTGGCCTTTTCATAGAGTCAGGGCATCTTCAGTACACCTCAGGCAGGCCTTCCTGTCCTTTCTTAAATGCCAATGTGCTGGGATATTTGGGTCTTATTTTAAAGATGTGTATTTTCTGCCTGTACAGCCTTTTTTTTTTTTTAAGTTTTATTTACTTTGAGATAGAGTGTGTGGTGTGCAGGGGAAGGGCAGAGAGAGAGAGAGACAGACAGACAGACAGACCCAAGCAGGCTCTGCACCGTCAGCACAGAGCCTGATGCAGGGCTCGTGAGATCATGACCTGAGCCGAAGTCAGATGCATAGCCAGTTGAGCCACCCAGGCACTCCTTCCTGTAGTCTTTTAAAATTGTTTTTATACACAAGTAATTTATGCTTATTGTGGGAAATTTAGGAAATAAGTGAGCAAAAACACACAAATAATATTAACCTTAATTATTAGAGAACACATACATACATGTCCACATCAGAGCTATTTGTAAAGACAGTTTAACCTATACAAGCTGTGCTGTAGCCCATTTTCTTCCTTAACAGCGTGTTTCTCTGGAGTTGTTTTTGCTGTGTTGTTTGGAGTTGACCATATAAATAATTTGGTGTTTGTAGAAGAGTCTGCCTAATAGGAAGGAAGAAATGTCACACTTAGGAGCCTGTGACCTGAATCCCAAGGGTACCATCTCTTAACATTCCTACATCTTTTAATTAATAAAAAAACCGAGGAAAGTAAAGGGATGGGAGAGAGAAAACTATACATAAGGCAAATAACATGGCTAGGATATGTCTTACTGTAGAACATTATTTTTTGTCTTGGTTACTTCATGAGATGGAATTGCTTATGGGGTTGTTAACTGAGTCTAAAAGGAGTAAAATTATAGATATTTATTTGGGACTGTTTGTTTTTACCCTGGAAGGATGTGCATAGCTGGGAAAATGAAGGATCTTTAGAATGTATTGAAATATAGTAGAACAAAGTCTTCCAACATTTTTTAATTACATCGAGAGAAATGCTTACTCTTCTTTTGTTTTGCGCTTAGCTAGTAAACTTTACCATGTTTTGTTTTTGAGTTATTATTTTGAAGGATTTTCTGACTTTATTTATGCGGTTTTAACTGAAACCTAGTTTTCACAGCTACATGGGGGAAAATGAGTAATCAAGAGAGACAGATACACACACATACACACTTGACATTTCTCATTAGCCTGCTGTGAGTCTTTGGGTTGTGGTAAGAGAAACTAATTTTGGTCAATTTAAGTAAAAAAGCATGAAACAAATCTACATCTTCAGTTTCTGGTCGTATATGCCTGTTCAGGTATTAAATTCCTGTGACCCTGATGGTGGTGGAAAGGCCAGTCAATAATGGCTGAGGGGCAGAGTCCACAGCAGAGGCTGGGCCGGGGGTGGGGGCCTCCCCTGTGTATCAGTGCTGCCCCCGAACAAGAGAGGGTGACCGTGAGCAAGACCACCACTTCAGTTGGTGTCTGACAGGATCTTACCTTTGTAATTGACTTTTCTCGTGACCTGTCTTCCATAGAAACCTGTCTTTTGACTCAGAGGAAGAAGAACTGGGGGAGCTCCTCCAGCAGTTTGGAGATCTCAAGTATGTCCGTATTGTCTTACATCCAGACACGGAGCATTCCAAAGGTATTTGCTGTCAGCTTGGCCGGCTCTGGAAAGGTCGAGACCGCTGCCAAGGGCACTGACTGGGTTATGTGAGATCGCGATGTGTGCCAATCTGAGGGGTCTGCAGTGCACCCAGCCAGGGTTTCTGTGGCCCATAGAAGCACCAAGGACATTCTGAGGTTGTTTTCTAAGATATCAAACTCAGCATCTTTAATGGTGCTGCCAGCCACAATTTTGTCTAAGCTTTTTAAGCCCTTGCTTATTTACTTTAGGGTAATGAATTCCATTTGTTGTTCTCCTTTGAATTTCAAATGTGATGGCATCTCATGGGTATTAATCATTCCACATTGCTTGAAATTACAGGGATCTTTTTCAGTTGCTTTTGTTAGAGATGGAGGCTAACAAATTTTGTTGCAGCAGCAGTCGTCAGAAGGAGAACTGTATATAGCAGGACTGCTGCCTTAGATTTTTTTTTTTTCTAAAGCTATTTCTTTTGAGCTTTAAGGATTGGCTGCAGTTCATTCTAGTATATTGTTGTTAGGTGAGCAGCATCTTTTCAGCCTATTCAAAACTTTTGATTTCATCCGCTGCAGTCATTCTCCTAAAGCAGTGAGTTCTTAATTCATTCTGATTCTTGATTCTTTTGAGATCTAGCAAAAGCTATGAACCCTCTCTCTAGAAAAATGCCACTTCTGAGGGCTTGTGGGCTCTCTGGAATCTACTCAAGGGTTAAGAACCTCTGTTCTAAACCTTACTTTCCAAAATGATGAGACCTGATTGTTTTTGGTTTTTACTTAGCCAGAAAGATCTAAATAGGGCAGTAGGATGGAAAGAAAGCTGACCTGCTTCCTGGGGATTAGGGGTCTAAGTGTAACTGAGCCATAGACCCAATGGGTGATTTCTGGCAAATTGTTTAACCATTGCAGTCTTCATTTTCTTATCTGTAAAATGAATGGGTTCAACTAGAGTAATCATTTAAGGAGCTTTCAACTCTAATATTTAGCTCTACTTCTTGGACCATCTCTATTTCCAATATATTTTTCCAAAAACAGACAACTGGAATTGCATAGAATGTTCCAAGTACTGTAGGATATTGCTTTACTTTGATGATACCTTTTGTTTCTTTTTGAATGCAGTAGTGTATTGGGTTGGTATTTCCAGAATGTAGTCACTAGCTAACTTGCTCAGTCTCCTTCTTGGTCTATTAGTATTTGAGAGTTAACGATCCTAATAAGCATAGTTTTCATTATTTTTTTTAATGTACTGTCTCTTTCTAGCTCATACTAAATTTTTTTTTGTCTACTCACACAGCCTTGGCCTCCTCCTACCATTTATCTCTGTCAGCATGCCATTTTGCCGTCTAGGAGAGCTAAAAATTGTAGACTTTAGGAAAGTGTTAAGTCTAAACCCAATACTGACCTGGAAATTCCTGAGATAAAATTCTTACCCATTCAGAGAGAAGTACACATTTTCTTCAAGTTGGATGCATAAGCTCTTCTGCCTATTAGATACATTTCCCCCATCTTCCTTCCTTTCTTTCTGTATTGTGTGTTTCTTCCTATTGAGTGTCTCTTAATGCCAGACACTATGGTAGGTGCTAGCAATATAGAAACAGCCAGGAAACAGGGGCCTTATTCCTGAGACACTCGTTCTGTTTGGGAAGATGCCACCTGACCAGTGCTGTAATAGAGACATGTGATTGGAGGACTGGGGGTGGGCGTGGGGGCACTTGGCTCTGCCTAGAGGAGGCAGGGAAGACCTCACCTAGATGGTAACTTCTTGGATTGGCCTGCCACATGTGTTGTCTCAGTCTGTTGCCACTTGTTTTTGTAGGGGACAAAAGGCTACTGTGCCTTTGCAAATTCAGAGTATGAGTCAGGAATTGAGCTTTTGGCTTTCTGGTTCACTGCTGTATTCATGTGATAGAGGCCAGGGACTTTGACTCCGAGAGGCCAGTCTGCCCATATCTGATGTCTCCCACGTAGCTTTGATGACAGGGAGATATGTAATTAATTTCAGGTTAAGTGGTTCCTGCCTCATTTTTTAGTCCTCTAAAAGGCAAGCAGTAAGTGATGCTGTATCAAGTGGAATTTTCTCTACCATATCTTGTGGACTTTTCTTATTAAGGAGAGCAACGGTGAGACTGAAGTTCTAAGAAGCATTGGAAAAGATGATGAAGTAGTAGTAAAATTTCATAATAAGCACGTGTCCTATCTCATTTACCTTTGAACCTTTAGTGCCTGACATGGTGCCTGTCTCATAGCACCTAACAAGATGGGGGTTTGTCTGCTTTATCTCAGGCTGTCGCCATGTGTAGTGTCATCTTTGGCACCCTGGTGGGTCAGGGAGTTTGGCATCTCACTGAATTTTGTTTCTTGGGCAGGTTGTGCCTTTGCCCAGTTCATGACTCAAGAAGCAGCTCAGAAATGCCTTAAAGCTGCTTCTCTAGAGACTGAGGTAAGTAGGACATTTCCTTTACCTCATAACTTAGGGGAGAGTGGCTCCTAAGGCCAGCATCTGCTGTTTACACACAGCCTTATGATTACGGTCAATAACACAATAATAGAATATAGGCTAACACTGAGGACTTAGTGTGTGTTGGACACTGAGCTTCCATATGTATTACCTTATTTAATCCTTACATCACTTCTACGTGGGTATGTAACATAAGCACAATTATTATACCTATTTTATAAGTGAGGAAACAGGTTAATAATGTATCTGATGTTTATTGGTCACTGTCTGTGTGTCAGCCTCTTTCCTAGGCTGATGACATGAAAGGTTGGGACAAGAAGGGAATGAGGTCATCTGTGAAGTGGAGTAGCTGAGAGAAAATGCATGGGTGATAGAGAATTTTTCTGTGTATTCTATAGCCAAGTGTAAATGGTTCTGAGATAAGTTATCCTGTATTACCATTATCTCTTAAATTCTCTTAAGTAGAGTTAACACCACCATTTTGTTAGCTTTCTTTCGAATTTAAAGATCATTTTCCTCGATTTGGGCCTACTTTGGGATTAATCAACTCCCGTAAAATAAATAACTGCTAACTGGCTTTTTTTTTTTTTTTTTTTTTTTTTTTTATTTTTTTTTTTTTCCACACCCACCATGGGGCTTGAACTCGCAGCCCTTTAATCAAGAGTTGCATGCTCTACCAACTGTGCCAGCCAGGCACCCCTACATGTGGCCTTTTGCACAGCTATGCTAAACGTCGGTCCATTTGCACCCGCCTGGGCTAAAACATCCTAGAGGCTGGGTTCCGTAGCATAATTGGGGTTTGCTGTTTTCCCTTTTCTTGGCATTCCTTGTCAGGTGCTTAATTTCTACCCATTATGACTTTTAAGAGAGAGGGTTGTAATCTGTTACAGGGCGGTGGGCTTAAACTGGATGGCCGACTGCTCAGAATCGACTTGGCAGTGACCCGTGATGAGGCTGCAAAGCTCCAGACAAAGAAGGTGAAGAAGCCAACTGGGACCCGGAACCTCTACCTGGCCCGAGAAGGCTGTGAGTGATGGAAGGGAGTTGTGAACCAGGCTTCTGAGTAGCTGGCCCTGAGCAGTGACAGTGACCCGCAGTAGTACATGTGGGGGCATGTTTCAACTTAAAACCCACATGTTCTCTTTAACAGCAACATCATATTATTCCACTTTAGCAGATGCGGCTTTCCATTAGGAAAACCACCCTTCTCTTTTCTGCCTGCTAGCCTTTAGACCTTTAGGTCAGAGGATTAGCAGGGCAAAGAGGGAGGAAAAATTCAAATTACCTTTGCCTCTTGTCATGATTTCTGATAGTTTTCCTGAAGGAGTTGAAAATGATGGCTAAAATTATTGCTCTTTTGGATTATTTATGGATTTAAATTGTGTGCTTGGTACCTTCCGTTTAATGTTAGAAAGATACTCAGAAATTAGCCTCAGCTAAAAAAAAAAATCCCTTCCGGGGCGCCTGGGTGGCTCAGTCGGCTAAGGGTCCGACTTCGGCTCAGGTCATGATCTCACGGTTCTTGGGTTTGAGCCCCGTGTCAGGCTCTGTGCTGACTGCTCAGAGCCTGGAACCTGTTTCAGATTCTGTGTCTCCCTCTCTCTCTGACCCTCCCCTGCTCACACTGCCTCTCTGTCTTTCTCAGAAATAAATAAAACATTAAAAAGATTAAAAAAAAAAATCCCTTCCTCTAGGGCATGCAGTATTTGTCAGCCCACCTGCTGCACAACTGCACAGGCTGGACTGGTGATGTCAGGCCCTTAGCCTTCAGTCCTAGGCCTCTGTATGACCACATGGCTGTTTGCGGCTGGCTGAACTCACTGCTTTCTACTGGCAGTACTAAGTACAGCACCTAGTACATGAGGAACAATAAAATTTCAAGGACAGGTTTGGGAGTATTTTTATATCCCAGATACCTAAAATGTACTTACTTTCAGACCTTCCTCTAGGCCTTTCCGTCAGACTTTGGGCATGCACACGAAGTTTTTGAGGGGAGAGAAGGAGAAGAGGAACAAACTAACAAAATGTTCAGTTTTAGTCCTTGAAAGCAGCTCAGAGCTAAGAACTTAGCCCTGTAGCCTATTTCTGGATCTACCCAAATGCCACTATGTCCTGGCCAGCATAGTCCTCTGGGCCTGTACATAGAGCTTGCATCACTCAAATCACATTCCTCTTGTTGCTCAGTGAAAATTCCCTTGCTGATGTCTTGGCCTTTTTCCCTCTTTCTGCAGTGATTCGTGCTGGGACTAAGGCTGCCGAGGGTGTGAGCGCCGCTGATATGGCCAAGAGAGAACGGGTGAGTAGACTAGGTGCCAGCCTACAAGATCTGCATGACTTCGTATAAATCAGTAAATGATACCTGTTGAATGCTGGAGGTGCTTATCAGAGAGCCAAGCATCACAGACCCTGCTTATGCTTAGAGGAAGTCACACAGATGAAACAGCGAAGAACCCAACATTGTACATAGCATTATAGGACATATGCCATTATAAGGACTGGGTCTTATTGTCTAATTTCCTAATGCTCAGCAGTAAGTGCTGGCCATGTATGCTTCTGCGTCATGGAGGCTAGGGCTATGTGTAATTAGGTGTCAGTGTAAATGCAGAATGACGTTAAGAATGGAAGATCAGAATAGGCTGGAATAAGTAGGGAAAGAGGTAGATAGGGTTCTTGGAAGAGTTAAGATGTCCTTTTTTTGGTAGGAGGTTATGTTCAGATTAGAAAATCATCTTAGAGGGGCGTCTGGGTGGCTCGTTGGTTAGGTGGCCAACTCTTGATTTCAGCTCAGGTTGTGATCTCGCTGTCTGAGAGTCCAAGCCCTGCGTTGGGCTCTCTGCTGATAGATCAGAGCCTGGAGCCTGCTTCAGATTCTGTTTCCTTCTCTCTGCCCCTCCCCCACTCATACCCTGTCTGTCTGTCTCTCAAAAATAAACATTTAAAAAAGGGGTGCCTGGATGGCTCAGTCGGTTAAGCGTCGGACTTCGGCTCAGGTCATGATCTCACGGTTTGTGGGTTCGAGCCCTGCATCGGGCTCTGTGCTGACAGCTATCTCAGAGCCTGGAGCATGTTTCGGATTCTGTGTCTCCCTCTCTCTCTGACCCTCCCTTGCTCACACTGTCTCTCTCTCTCTCTCAGAAATAAATTAAAAAAATAAGTAAATAAAAGAAGACAGTTAACTTTAGAGCCTGAAGGTATGGAGATGAGAATATAATGACACCAAGAGGCACTGTGTTTTTTCTGTGTACAGTTTCTAGACTCATGTTCACAACTTTTTTAGTAGTGAACATTTGGAAATCATGGTATTTGGGGAGCATTATATGTCCTTTTCTCATCATAATATGAGAGTGACACTTTTGACTTTTCCTTAGAATGAATTTTTGTAGCAAAATGTTCCCTTGATTGTATGCATTATAATTCACAGCAGACACAGTTGTTCCTTTTGAGACTGTTGAACTTAGGGACGAGAGCCACTTCAAATAACCCTTTAATATTTATTTTCAGAGAATCTGCTTATTTTTGATTTGTTAGTACCTTTACCAAATAAGGAACAGCAGAAATGAGACTTGAGTAAAGAAAAAATTTTAAAGTTTTTTTTCTACTAACCTAATTAAAAAAATTTCTAAATGTTATTTATATTTGAGAGAGAGAGTGTGTGAGCTGGGGAGGGGCAGAGAGAGAGGGAGATAGAACCTAAAGCAGGCTCCAGGCTCTGAGCTGTTAGCACAGAGCCTGATGGGGGGGCTCAAACTCATGAACCGTGAGATCATGACCTGAGCCGAAGTCGGACGCTTAACTGACTGAGCCAAGCACATGCCCCATCTACTAACCTAATTTTAAAAACAAATCAGGAAAAGAATGTTATCCTCTCACTTGGAAGACATTGCCTCTGGGACTGGTGTTTTGTGCAACATCCTTGAGCCCAGTGCCCCAGAAGCAGAATCCATTTCTGTAGTCATGGACAGTCTTCTGCCTCAAGGTGGCGGAGTTGAGACAACATTCTATCAAGATTCTTTAAATAAATTCCACGTCCTTTTGGAAAATTCGTTTGAGTTGCTGGACAGATCAGGACTGGGCATAGATGTTAACCACAGTATTATTTATTATTTGCTTTAGGCAAGGTTTTGAGTTTGGGATTTTTTTGTGTATTACCTCATTTTAGCCTCACGTCAATGCTGAGAGATTGTTATTTTGATCTACAGTTCCACTTTGTAGGGGGAAAAATTGAGGCTTAAAAATTTTCACGGGGGCGCCTGGGTGGCTTAGTCGGTTAAACGTCTGACTTTCGCTTTGGTCATGATCTCTCGGTTCGTGGGTTCGAGCCCCGTGTCGGGCTCTGTGCTGACTGCCAGCTCAGAGCCTGGAGCCTGTTTTGGTCTGTGACTCCCTCTCTCTCTGACCCTCCCCTGCTCACGCTGTCTCTCTCTCTCTCCTAGAAATAAATAAAACATTAAAAAAATTAAAAAAAAAAAATTGCACGGAACTCCTCTTGTTAGGGATGGATTTCTAATTTAGTCTGAATCCAGAGCCCATGATCTTACCACGTACCCATCATCTGGCCTCTTTGAACCTTTCTTTCCCTAAGCTAGGGATCGTAAGGCTGTGGGTGGGCGATTTCCCTTCTTTTCTTCTGTATGTGTGGGTTATTGGATGCGGGTGGGGGGTGTCACAATTTGTTCCTTTTGGAGAATTAGGAACTTGCATTTTTAAAGGGTGGATGGTATTGTTGACAGTTTGTTGTTCTTTCAGTTTGAGCTGCTGAAACATCAGAAACTCAAGGACCAGAATATCTTTGTCTCCCAGACCAGGCTGTGTCTGCACAACCTCCCAAAGGCTGTGGACGACAAAGAGCTCAGAAAGCTGCTGCTGAATGCCACTCGAGGGGAGAAAGGGGTGCGCCTCCAGGAGGTGAGCATTGGCCCTGTCCACCCGCAACGTTGGTACTCACTGTGGGTCATTTTGACTGTTTATTTCAGGCTGCTTGGCTAGCAGATTGACAGTTTCTTTTGGACACATTGTTAACAGACAAAGCAGTTTTCATGGTAGCTTGTTTGTTTTCTCTTCTTAGAACTGCCTTTCAGGGGCACCTGGGTGGCTTAGTGGGTTAAACACCCGACTCTTGATTTCAGCTCAGGTCATGATCTCACAGTTCATGAGATTGAGCCCTGAGTCAGGTTCTGTGCTGACAGTGCAGAGTTTGCTTGGGATTCTCTCTCTCTCCCTCTCTCCCTGTCCCTCTCCCATGTGCCCCCCAAATAAGTAAAAACTTTAAATGACAGGATTTAAAAAAGAAAAAAAAAAAAAGAACTGCCATTCACACACATTGTCCAAATTGCAGCCGAATGCAAGGAAGTGTCTGCCCTCAGGAATTAATTTGCATGCTTGCTGTGTGCTCAGCATCATAGCAGGTGCTATGATGTTAATTTTTTTGCAGAGAAAATAATCTGTGTAGTTTGCTCTTTAGAAGAACATTTTACTGCCATTTAGGCTCTTACTGTATAAAAAGAGTCCTCGGTGCAGTGTGGTAAGCACAGGGAGCCACGCGAGTCTGCAGCGGTTGTGTTAGACAAACACTGGATTTGGACCAAGACCTGATTACACAGTGTGTGAGTACACACACCTCCCCCCTGCCCTCACAACACCCTCTGTAAACCTTTGTCACAGCACGCACTAGGACACTGTCCTGTAATTGTCTGCCAGTCATTTCTCCCGACCAGACTGAGCTCTTGGAGAGTAGGTCATGGCTCCTAGTCCTTGGCAGAGTACCTGGAACATAGTCATCTCTCATCAGTACTTACTGACTAAGTAACACAGCCAATGGTATAAATCTGCTTTGCTCTGATTTGTGACTATGAACTGTTTTCCTAACCCTGGAAAATCTCTTAAAATGTATGGCATAGGTATTTGGGGAATTACATGAGAGATTGTGAACATACCAGCGCATATCTGACCCCGCTCTTAGTAAAACTGTTCAAAGTGTTACTGGCGTAGGGGTCACTTGTGTAATTTCTCATATCAGCATCCACAATACTAATAAGTGCCTGTACATCACCAGTCAGGGAAATTTAGGAGTTTTACAATGTTTGCATTCTGTTGAATGTTCTCTTTAATTCTTTCATATGTGTAGGTATAGTATGTCAGGAAGATCATAAGCTTCTTGAGGACAGCAACCTCACTTTATGCTTTTCTTGGTTTCTCTGCAGTGCATGGCACAGTTCTAGGGACAGAGAAGTATACCAAATGCAGCATCCTTAACACCTAGATTTCTCCGTTACATGAGAACTGCAGCTTCCAGGAGTAACAGCATGTACACAGTATCCTAAGATAGTCTACTATGATATGGTATCTTCAATGCCCCAGGATGCCTGTTACAGTTAAGTGAAGGATTTAGGGAAAAATCACACCAGACAAGATCTGAGCTCTGAGCAAAGTCAGCTAAAACTTCTTCCTGTATTTCTAGGCTAGATGTTAGGTTCTTCCCCATGCCTGAATGTGTTTCTTAACTAAAGCCATCAGGCCTTCTTTTCATTCCTCAATAATTTCCTTGTTCAGTGGTTTCTTCAGTGATGAGATCTATGGACAGCGCTTCATCCTCAGTGATAACTTGTACAGTTTAAAGTTCTATAAACCTCTCAACTTCTGTGGAGTATCAGCAGTTAGCTGTTACAGTTTTGGGAAGAGGAAGTTTGTTTTATTTATATGCTTGTAAGTAGGTTTTTGTTGATCTCTGTAAACTTTTAGAAAGCCAGGAGGTATCTATTTAGTTGGTTCTGTGCTTTCTAGTCAGTGCATTCTATTAAGACAGACATTGGTAAGTGTATTTACCAGTATGAATGTTGACATAGGTGCGGATTCTGTTCCAGTAACCTGATTACCTAATGAATCTGTTCATGTTCTTATCCTGTAAACAAGGATTTTTGTTTTCTTGCTGTACTCTTAGTGTAGGGTGATGCGAGATCTCAAAGGAGTGCATGGGAAAGTTAAGGGTCAGTCCCTGGGCTACGCTTTTGCAGAGTTCCAGGAGCACGAGCACGCCCTGACAGCCCTTCGCCACATCAACAACAATCCAGAGATCTTCGGGCCTCTGAAGGTGAGCCTTGTCCCGTGGGGGGAGCTGATCCTCTGAGGGCCGTTTGCAGAAAACCATTTCTCTCCTTTGTGCCCAGTGTCCTCTGACTTGTGTGTGGTGGGAAAGAATAGCCAGTCAGTGGAGGGAATAAGCAGGGATTCAGCTGATGATTAGAAGGAATTGAAATCTCAGTTGGACAGTCTGCTTGCAGAACGGGCCCCTTACCTTTAAGTGGAGTAAGTGAGCATGAGAGAGGCGAGTAGTGGAGGACAGCTTAACTTAGCTCATTGCACTCAGAAATTAAGAAATCTACTGAATGACATTTTCCTTTTGATACAGAGACCGATAGTGGAGTTCTCTTTGGAAGATCGAAGGAAACTTAAAATAAAGGAACTGAGGATTCAGCGCAGCCTGGTACAGAACTGAAATGTGTTTCTGTTTTTGTTTTTGTTTTTTGTAATTGTGGTCAAATACACATAGCGTAAAACTTACTATTTTTAAGTGTACAGCTGAGTTAAAACAAATTATTTCAGGGGTGCCTTGGTGGCTCAGTCGGTTAAGTGTCCAACGTTTGATTTCAGCTCAGGTCATGATCTCACAGTTCGTGAGTTCAAGCCTTGCATCAGGCTCTGCACTGACAGTGCAGATTCTTTCTTGGGATTCTCTCTTCCTCTCTTTCTGTGCCTCCCCTGCTTGGGTGCACACTCTCTGTCCTTCAAAATAAACTAAAAAACTATTTCTGTTAGAACAATATATTTAAGCTCCTATTTTGTTCAATTTGTGGGTCTGCATCCTTGAAATAGGTCTGTACCTGATTTTTTAGTAGTGACTCAAGAAGTGAAGAATGCACAAGAATGGATCACAGGATATGGAATTTATCAAACTCTAGCCTTGCTTGTTAATTTTTTTTTTTAAATATCTGTAATGGTACTTACTTTGCTTGCTTTGAAGTAGCTCTTTAATTTTTTTTGCAGTAACTGTTAGTTTTTTAAGTCTCTCGTAGTGTTAAGTTATAGTGAATACTGCTACAGCAATTTCTAATTTTTAAGAATTGAGTAATGGTGTAGAACACTAATTCATAATCACTCTAATTGTAATCTGAATAAAGTGTAACATTGTGTAGCCTTTTTGTATAAAATAGACAAATAGAAATGGTCCAATTAGTTTCCTTTTTAATATGCATAAAATAAGCAGGTGGATCTATTTCATGTTTTTGATCAAAAACTTTATTTGGGATATGTATGGGTAGGGTAAATCAGTAAGAGGTGTTATTTGGAACCTTGTTTTGGACAGTTTACCATTTGCCTTTTATCCCAAAGTTGTTGTAACCTGCTGTGATATGATGCTTCAAGAGAAAATGCGGTTATACAAATGGTTCAGAATTAAACTTTTAATTCATTAAAAAAAAAAAAAAACTGTACAGAGGCTCTTACCAGCCTTTACTCTTAGTTCCCTAGAACTCTCCAGGCCATCTTCTCCTCTGCTAGCCTGTCCTGTGGTAGCTCCTCAGGAGGGAAAGGAAGGAGAGAGGAGTATCAGGCTGATATTAGCAGGAAGCACTGTGAGTACAGTGTTTGGTGATGGTACATGTCAAAGGTAATGGCCCAGGTGAAAGTTTTACACTGCTGTAGATTTCAGCTAACTCTCTCATAATTCTTTCTCAGATGGCTCCAGAAGTGTAATGCCTGATAGTTTTAGTGTTGTTTTTAAGCTAGTGTGGTATAAAGGAAAGAACAAGCCTGACTGCTCATGGTCAGGGTCAGGCTCAGGCTCTTCCTCTGAGTTCTTTAGCAAGTTAATACCTTTCTCAGCTTTCAGTTTAGTTTGTAAACTAGGATTAATGGCATCTACCTCACATGATTGCCAGGGATTAAGTGGTAACAGTGCATGGTCAGCACAGTTAGCACTCATTTTCTTACCCATCTTGCCTGAGGACGTAGAAGGCCAGATTGTTCTTGATACCATAACTCCTAAAGCTTTCACTGATAGCATACGTTAACTTGCTTATATACCAAACATTTGTACTCTGTGGTGTGTATGCTGGGCCTGACCTATAGAAGAGTGATTTCGGTGGTTAATACAGTGTCTTGGACAGGAACACCTGGGATCTGGTTCTTGTTCAAGGCAGCTTTGTTGTTCTAGGTATAGACTTATTTCCTGCTGTAAGCTGTTGTTGCAGTGATTCTGAAGCTGTGACTTACAAAACTATTCAGATGCCTCTTTTGTTGCCTATACTTGTGTACATCCTGCTCTTTCTGTGTAAAATTGCCCCTTCCTCTTGACCCAGGGATACTTCTACACAATTTCCACATTCAGATCAAATGTGCTTCCTCAAGTAGCATTTTTCCACCTCTCTCAAAAGACATGAGGCCTCCTTACTTGTGCTTTCATGAACTTCCTTAAGCTCTTTAGTTTTTGCCTTTGCTTTGTGTGTCTCTTATTTCCACTAAGCTGAGAGGGAAATACTGTTTTTTCCCTCGGTACCCTTACCTTTGAAACTAACACTGGCACAGTACAGGCTCATAATAGATCTTTGTTGTATCAATTATTACAGTAATTTCATGTGAATCTTCTTTTTCTTCTTCTGCTACAGTGGAACTAAAATCTATAACATACCTTATGCCTTCCTTCTCATAGCATCTTTTCCTCATCTTCACTTCACTTATTCCTTCTCTAGTATTCTTCCTTTCAGGTTTCTGACCTAGGTCATCTTCCTCCTCTGAAGAAATTCATTTAGCCTTTCTTGCAAGATAGGTCCCCTGGTGACAAATTCCTTTCTTTAGTTTTTTGTTTAGTTTTGTTTTTTTGCTGTGTGTGTGTGTGTGTATTGAGAAAATCTTTATTTCTCCTTCACTTTTGAGTGATAATTATACTAGATACAGGATTCTAAGTTGGTGACTCCCCCCCCCCCGCAAATTTTAAATATTTCTGTGTTCTCTCCTTTATTACATGGTTCCTGAAGAGAAATTCAGTGTAATCTTCTCTTTCTTTGTTTCTCTCTAGGAAAAGTATTCTCTACCCTCTTCCTCCCCCCAGCTTCTTTCCAGATTTTCACTTGGTCTTTAATTTTCTGCANCCCCCCCCCCCCCCCGCAAATTTTAAATATTTCTGTGTTCTCTCCTTTATTACATGGTTTCTGAAGAGAAATTCAGTGTAAACTTCTCTTTCTTTGTTTCTCTCTAGGAAAAGTATTCTCTACCCTCTTCCTCCCCCCAGCTTCTTTCCAGATTTTCACTTGGTCTTTAATTTTCTGCAGTTTTGTATGATGTGCCTGAGTGTAGAGTTTTTGGTATATATTGGGCTGAGCTTCTTGGATCTGTGGTTTAGTATCTCACGAAGTTTGGAAAATTTTCACCCCTAATTACTTCCAATATTTCTTCAGTTCATTTCTTTCTTCGCCCTCTGGGATTCCTCTCACACATTTGTTACACCTTTAATAATTGTCCCATGCTGCTGGCTTTTCTTTTTTCTTTCTTCCTACTGGCTTTCGAGTCTTGGGCATACATGTACTTTCACCTGTTCCTGCCTGTGGGGAAGGAAGTGGTGGTTTTATGTCCCCCATCCTAGTAACCATCTGTTACTATGTATTCACTTTCCTATAATTTGTAACTATTAAGGGGATGAACTCCCCCTTTTCACTAAGCTCACAGAAAGCTCCTTGTCTGCTGACTGTTTCCAGCAAATAAGCCTCATCCAGAAACCAGATGGCAGTCTCTTGTTTTATGCAGCAAAAAGTGAAATCCAGGCCTGCAACTGGCGAGCCGCAGCAGGAACGGCCAGTGCTTGGGAAAGAGCAGCAACGGAAAGTGGCTCAAAATCGCACACAGGAACACAGCAAGGCCGCCCTGGAGCAGAAGGGGAAGGAGTGTTCTACTTCGTGGACAGGCTTCCAGACCAAGGCGGAAGTGGAGCAGATGGAGCTGCCTGATGGAAAGAAGAGAAGGAAGGTCCTGGTGCTCCCCTCCCACCGAGGCCCCAAAATTCGGTGAGATACAGGACTGTGGCATAGAACAGCGGGTGGCTTCTGAGAGGGTTTGTTTTCACTTAACGCTTTCTTTGTAGCTTTGTTTGGATGAAAGGGATGTTTCGTACTGTGCCAATCCCCCATGAGGGGGTTCATGTGCAGGCGTCTCCACACTAGCAGAGAGGGTCTTGGGGGAGCCTCCTGGGGCCGGCCTTCGTGCATTTTTCCTTCTTCTGAAGAGCCTCCTTCCACCCACGGGCCTATTAGCTGAGACCCACCAACTCAAGGTTGTCTTGCAGATCCTATTTGAGGCAGCAGATTAGTGCTATCAACAAAAGTCAGTCCTCTAAGGTTTTCTTTTTTTTTTTTTTTTTTAATTTTTATGTTTATTTCTGAGGGCGAGAGAGACAGAGCACAAATGGGAGGGGCAGAGAGAGAGGGGGAGACACAGAATCCAAAGCAGGCTCCAGACTCTGAGCTGTCAGCACAGAGCCAGATAGGGGGCTCAAACCCACAGACCATGAGATCATGACCTGAGCCAAAGTCCACTGCTCAACCAAGGGAGTCCCCCAGGCACCCCAAGGATCTTGTGAGGTTTTAAGCTGAAACAAAAAGTATACAAATGTTGAGCCTTAAGATATTCTGTTACAGTATCTTTTTTTAGAAAGACTCTCCTGGATTTAGAGCCAGTGTTAGAAAAGAATTTTATCTTCTGGCTTAAACAGCCTCAGAGGTGCCAGTTAGAGGAAGACTTCAGAGTGACATTTACTTGACCTCTTATTTCAGGCTCCGGGACAAAGGCAAAGTGAAGTCTCTCCCTCCCAAAAAGCCAAAGCTGCAGATAAGCCAGAAGAAGCAAGAGAAGCAGAAACTGCCTTCCAAGCAGGTGAGTTCTGTAGGGCACGGGGCTCCGGTACAGCATGGCTCTGCCGGGGCTGGTGGCCACTGTTGTGCCCTGGTGAGGTAAGCAAAAAGACAGGGCATTGGATTGCAGCTTTGCAGGACTACAGCTTTATAGAAGATGTTGAGGTATATATATATAGTTCTCAAAGTGGAGAGAACCTGGGACACCTGACTGACTCCATCAGAAGAGCATGCAACTCTTGATCTTGTGAGTTCAAGCCCCGTGTTGGGTGTAGAGATTACTAAAAAAAGAAATTAAATAAAGTTAAAAAATAGGGGCAACTGGCTGACTCTTGATCTCAGGGTCATGAGTTCGAGCCCCACATTGGGTATAGAAATTACTTAAAAATAAAAATCTTGAATAAAATAAAAAATAGCAAGTAAATATTATAATAAGTAAAAGTGGAGAGGACCCAGTGTATCAGTTACTCCACTTCAACAATTATCTTGTTTTACTCATTCCTCATACATACTGTCCCCTGCCCGCAAGACATTAAAGCAAACTCTGCTTCGCATGTAAATGTGCCTTATATGAGAATGAGGTATATTGCTCAGAAAAATACCTCAGAATGCATCTCCAACTTACCAGGCCTTAAAAATATACATATATTATGTCATTGTCATATTTAATGAAGTTAATAAGAAGCCCTTAATATCATCTAATATGCAGCCCATATTAAAATGCCCCCAGTTGCCTCAAATATATTCTTTTATAGTTGGTTGGTACAGATCAGGATTCAGAGAGAGTCCATGCATTACATTTGGTTTTTATGTCTCTTAAATCTATCCTTTTTTCCACTATAATATTCTTCCTCATCGCCTCCCTTCTTTCCTTTCTGATAATTTGTTGTAGAAACGGTGTCCTTTGACCTTTAGAATGTATTACATTTTGACTTTAAGCTGTTTGCTTCTTTGTGGTGTCATTTAACTTGTTCCTGTGACAACCATGTATTGCCTATAAACTGGTAGTAGATGTACCGGCTTGATTAGTGTCAGGTTCCATTTTCTTTTTCTTTAAAAGATTTTATTTATTTTTGAGTAATCTCTACACTCATCATGGGGCTTAAACACACAACCCCGAGACCCAGAGTCACATGCTCCAGCGACTGAACCAGCTGGCTGCCCCTCAAGTTCAGTTTTCTTGGCAAGAGTATGTCATGAGTGGTGCTGAGTGCTTTCTGTCGCGTTGACACCCTAAGGCACATAATGTCTGGTTGCTCCGTTTTTAGTGATGCTTAGAGGTTGATCAGTAGATCTGTAAGCTTAGGGTCGTCTACCTGTCTTCTGTTTGTAAAGTTCTCATCAGCCTCTTACCTGATGGTTTTAACACATACTGATGATTGCTGTCTAGATACATGATTTCTTTCTTTCTTTCTTTTTTTTGAAAAGTTAAAAATTCCTTAATTTTTTATTCCTGGTACCACCTCCAAATTTACCTGGCAATATACCTGATGTAATGAAAAGAAAAAGAAAAAGACAAAGCTACAACAGATACAAGACTTCAGGAATGTACATCTAATTGACACTACATTGCATTAATCAATAGCTGTACTTTTTGCAAACTGTGGCTATGACAGTCCTGAACAAGAAGGGTTTCCTGTTTAAGCTGCAGTAACTTTTCTGACTATGGATCATCGTTCCTTCTTTGGCAGACTTTTACAGTTCCTCTAATGCATTTGGGACAACTGTTTCAAAGTAACCTGCAGCTTTCCTGACAACTCCTCGCTCTCTCCTGCTAAGAACTGTAGCCCTTTTCTTCTGAAAATTTTTAGAACCTTCTGCTACCATATCCACCACTTCCACCACCAGAGCCATAACCACCACCATAGGGACTGCCCGAGCTTCTTCCACCAAAACTGCCCTCCTTCGTGGGTCCATAGTTTGATTGCTGTTGTCCACTGTAATTTCCAAAATCATTATAGTTCCCACCACCACCATAGTTCCCACCTCCAGAATTTCCTCCTCCATTGTAACCATCATATCCTCCACCACCACCACCATATCCATCTCCTTTCCATATCCTGGTCCACCACCACCATAGCCTCCTCTACTGCTGTAACCAGGACCATCACCATAGTTGCCACCATCACCTCCAAATCCATTATATCTACCATCACCTCCTCCATAACTACCTCTGCTGCCACCACCTCCAGCACCACAGCCTCCTCTTCCACCAAAGTTTCCACCGCGGCCAAAGTTACCACCACCTCCAAAGTTTCCTCCACGACCCATAATGTTGCCAGATCCACCTCCATGACCTCTTTGCGATCCGGCAGACTGCAGTTCTTGTTTAGAAAGGGCCTTTTTCACTTCACAATTATGCCCATGTATAGTGTGGTATTTCTGAACAACAATTTTATCAACTGTATCACGATCATCAAAAGTTACAAAAGCAAATCCTCTCTTTTGATTTCATTTCCTTTTGTCCGTTTTCAGAGTAGTGAGTTGGTGCCCTACCAGTAATATTTTTTTAGTAATATAGATTCCTGAGTTTTTGTATACTTGATATGTTTCCATCAAATGCAATGATTACTGTTGTCCCATCTTAGGCCAGCAGAAGGCCTTTCATGGTGGCTCTTGAGGCTTTCTGATATGACCCTGTCTGTGGTAGTGTCCTTGCTTTCTGGTACAGCCAGATGTCGCAGCTCATCTTACATGTTTTTCCCCTGGTCCTGGCATTAGCCATTTCCCCAAGCAGCCCTAGTTCCTTTTAGTAGAAAATGGTGGTTCTGCATTCTTGAACATCTGAGGTCAAGCATTCTTTTCTCCTTCCCTGGTCCCTTTCTTTTAAGTTTCAAGGTAAAAGAAGCATTAGCTTCTCCTCCTGCTCAAGGAATCTGTGTCTCTGAGAAGTCTGAGCCATATTGTACTATCTTATGGAGATCTATCTTTGAAATCCCATAAGCAGTATTCTTGTTAAGGGAAAGGGCCAGCAGGAAGGTCTAGACTCTGGGCTGACTGATTTGCAAGAAGACTTAGATGAGCATCTGAGGGCTAGAGCTTGGGAGCACCTGCAGTGTTTTAGGGGGGCCCTTAAGCATTCCTTGTCTGGTTTCTTGCCAATGGACAGTTCATTTTGCATTTTCTAAGAGCATTTCACCTCTTTTGGTGAAGAAGATTTCTTATTTTCTCTCTTAGGTTGTGTGAAGGGTAAGGTGATATTCAGTGCTTGAAACTCATCATTTTGTTTTTCCTTATTTCATTTATAGACACCAAGGAGAAAAGCTAAGGGAAATAAGACTGAAATCCGCTTCAACCAGCTGGTCGAACAATATAAACAGAAATTATTGGGACCTTCTAAAGGAGCACCTCTTGCGAAGAGGAGCAAATGGTTTGATAGTTGATGATAGCAGCAGACTGGATCAGAAGCTAATTGTGCACTTCTTGGTAAAGCTCCCAGGTCTCCCTCAACCCCCTCATGTTGTTCTCCGACGGGACATTCTCCTTCCTACCCAGTCCACTGCCACTTTGTTGAGAGGCCCTCCAGGCTGTGCATGTCTGAACTTTGGGCTCTCCCCAGCGCGTGATTAGTGAACCACAAAGAGAAATCTCAGAAAAACATTTGGATGCTTTTTGTGTGTTATCCAGCTCACTGTATGAATTGTGTCTAATTACTACCCACTCAATCCTTTGTTTCTGAAATGGAAAAAATTGTAAAGAGCATTCTAAAGGGCTGAGTTTTTCAGATGTGTATTTTGTGAAGTCTTTAAATGAGATATTTTGTGGCTTTTTTAAATAACAAATTGTCATTTCTAATAGATGTGAGTCCTTTATTATTTATGGATGTTTTTGACATTCTTAACTCTAAGTCAGTTACATAGTTCTACATACTGCAGGAATTAAGGAAGAATGGAGAAAAATGATTTCCAATCTAATCTCTGAGAGTGGGAGAGACTGGGAAAGTCACTGAGGTCAGTGAGGCCTGGCAGAGAGCAACATCTGATCATTGTTTGCCAGATGAGTGGGTTATTACTACTAGTTGAGTAGAAATCCATCCACAGATCCTAGCCTAGCTGATGATAACCCATATTTTCTCCCCTTCTCAGGACTTACAGAGGTAGGGGTTGATGGAAGCAGCTGTGAGCATGAGGTGTAGGCTTGAACCTGTCCTGCCTTTAACCTAATGGGTGGCCTTGAACCAGACACAGACTCTTTGAGCCTTGGTTTTCTCGTTTATAGTGTAAGGAATGTAACTAAAGTGTTTCTCCTATCTTTTTTGGCTCTACTCTTTTTCTAATTCATTCTCCTTTTTTTAATGTTTTTATTTATTTCTAGGAGAGAGAGAGAGAGAGACAGTGTGAGCAGGGGAGGGCCAGAGAAGAGAGGGAGTCACAGACTGAAACAGGCTCCAGGCTCTGAGCTGGCAGTCAGCACAGAGCCTGACACGGGGCTTGAACCCACGAACCGCGAGATCATGACCTAAGCGAAAGTTGGACGCTTAACTGACTAAGCCACCCAGGTGCCCCATTCATACTCCTTTTTTAAAGCATTTTAAAAAATGGTTTATTTACTTTTGAGAAAGAGAAAGCACAGGTTGGGGAGGGACAGAGAGGGAGACAGAGGATCTGAAGCAAGGTCTGCACTGAGAGTAGTGAGTCTGATCTGGGGCTTGAACTTATGAACCACAAGATCATGACCTGAGCCAAAGTGAGACATTCAACTGAGTGAGCCACCCAGGGAGGTGCCTCCACACTTCTCTTTTAAATTAGGATAGAGATGAGTGGTTACTTCCAAAATTTAAGAGGTATTACAAAAGCTGGGAGGGATGGTGAATAAATACTAGAGAGTCTAGATCCAAAAAGATTACAATAGCCTGAAGGAATGGGCTCAGTCTGATGAGGTGAAAATCGTTGGGAACAAACATAAATTCCTTCACTTGGGTTCAGAAACCCTACTGCACAAGTTCTGGTGGGAGAGCTGGGTCCACTGAATTCACATTATGAAGGAACAGTGTGGCTGCCACACGTGTAATAGGACTGTTAGGCGGTAGTAGTGGAAATGGGATGCTTCTTGTAAGTCAGCTGCTAGTACTCTGGGTTGGCCAGAGCTCATGTGTAAGACAAATGTAATGACCACGTTGGTGAAGGAAATAAAAATGTCACATGGGAACACAATGGGTCATGGCTTGATTGTTGTTGAAGCTGGTCATAGGTAAATGGAGATTTATTATGTATTCTCTCCGATTTTATGGACATTTGAAATTTTCCGTAATAAAAAGTTTAAAAGTCACATGAGTAACTGAAGGAAACTGGTACTGGTGTGCCCAAGAAGGGAATTCTTGGGGTCTTTTTAGCTGTTAGTAGAGCCCAGAAGGATATGTGGAGGCAGATGAGTAAAATCACAAGGAATCAGATTCGGGAAGAATTTCAATGTAGCTGTTCCATTTCTGGAACAGTCCAAGTACAGTAAGTCCATGATACTGGCAGGGGGTCCCGGTCCCAGGGGATTGGGCTGGAGGAGGTGGTAAGCGTCAGCCAGCTCATTGATGTCTGGCCCCAGGACGACCTGAAGATGTGCTTCATGTCTCCCCCTAGTCCCTGAGGTCCCTTTCTAGAGAAAACCTCTTCCTTCTCTGTTTGGTGTCCTTCATACAGTTGGTCCTCATTAAATCTGCCCTGGGGTTGGGGTGGTGTAGCTTCTGCTTAAAACCCTTCAGTGGTTTCTCATCTTATTTTGGTTGAAATTGTAACTCCTTCCTGTAACATGCAGTGCCCTCAGTTCTCGAGCCCCTGTCACCTCCCTTACTTGTCTCTATCCATCTCTCCAGCCAGGCCTCCCTCCAGTTCCTTTGTCTCTATCACCTCAGAGCCTTTGTGTTGCTTTCCTTCACCCGGAGAGCTTTTCCCTCAGGTCTTTTGCTTATCACCCAGATCTCCACTGAGCTGTAACCCCTCCTGGAGCTCTTTCCTGGCTAAAGAAGGGCTTTTCTTCCCCTCTATCCTGCCCCCATCACTGAATTCTCTTACTCTGCTTATTTTTGTTCTGGCACTCAGGCGTATCTGAAATTTGTTCGTTTCCTTAGTTAGAATGTATGCCTTGTGAGAGGAACTTGGTCTCTCATTGGTCCTGGAGACAACAGCACCTGGAATTGAACCCGGCACATAGTAGGTAATGAGTAAATATTTTTTGAATGGAAAAAAAAAATGCAAAGGAAGAAACGGTATTCAGTAGGTAGAGAAGAGTTGGAAATGTTGTCCAAAGTTCTAGGACTCCCTAGTCCAACCTGATGCTAGAATAAACGATGCTTTCTTCAGAATCGTTGCAACCCTAGGGATATGGTCAGTGCAGTATCTTGGGGAACCAGTAAATGCCCTTAATTGATTTATAAATGGATAAAGGAGAGACCCTGGAAATATTTAAACCTTTCTTGGGAGAGAACAAAAGGACGGAGGCTGTATCTTCAGAGTTATCTTGAGACTGGAGACTTGGGGAGTTTGAAATGTTGTTGCAATAGCTTGGCTGCACTTCTGTCCAGGAAGATCTGTACACTTCTCAACCCCTGTGGAGGGAGTAAGATAGTTTATTAAGTAAACACAGAGTATCCACCACCTGCCTGTTAGCTAATCTATTTGCCATTTGCCAGTTTCTCACCAGATGCTTTTTTGGGGGTATACAAATATCTGTAATTAACATTTAATAATATATATTAACATTTAGAATAGATAAAAGTTGGGGTTCATTCATATAGCTTTGCCTTATTCTTAGATCCAGATGCTTCTTCTGATAGCTTTAGCAACCCAGGATGCTTAAAACATCGTTCAACTGCTTGGAAAGTTATTGCTCAGTTCTTTTAAAAAGTGATATGAGTGATCTGTGGACCAGTCCTCACTTTCTCAACAACCGGATTCCTTTTATGGTATCGTCCTTTGGGACACCTTACCCTGGGTTATCTGGGCAGCTCCATTTACCTCTGCCTTGGGAGGATTAATGCACAAGAGTTGTGCTCACTGCTTTGCCTCAGGGCCTAAAGTTTCATGAAATGGAATCTTCTGAATTAAACATGAAGGCGGAGGTACAGACTGCCTAGTTAAACAACAATAACAACCATTTTGTTAACATCCAAGACTGAAGGCCTTTAGTCAGAGTGTCAGGTTTCAGTAGCATCTTCCTGCTTGGTTATACAGCAGCCTGGCTCAGAAATATTCCCCTTAAATAAATAAAGAGTCATAAGACTGTGTGCTTTCTTTGCTTTTGGCGGGGGTCGGGGGGAGCTACTTGGGGGCTACTTGGTGGTTTTGAAGGATCTGTTCTGATCCAGGATGTAAAGTCCCTTCCCATAGGGTTAGCCTGCAACTAGCGTTATGTTTCAGATGCATTGAAGTGTGAGATCTGTCCACTGCTTCTGTTACAGTTAGAGTGTGTGATTCATTCTTTTAAAGTTTTTTATTTTAATTCCAGTATAGCTAACATATAGCGTTACATTTGTTTCAGGTGTACAATATAGTGATTCAACGATTCCATACATTACTCAGTGCTCGTCATGATAAATGTACTCTTAATCCCACGCACCTTTTTCACCCATCTCCCTACCCACCTCCCCTCTGGTAACCGTCAGTTTGCTTTCTATAGTTAAGAGTCTTGGTTTGTCTCTGTCTTTCTTTTCCTTTGCTCATTTGTTTCGCTTCTTAAATTCACATATGAGTGATATATGGTATTTGTCTATCTCTGGCTTATTTCACTTAGCATTATACTCTCTAGCTCCATCCGTGTTGCTGCAAATAGCAAAATTTCATTCTTTTTTATGGCTGAATGTGAATTCATTCTTCAGAATACTTTCAAACGTCCTTAGATATGTTTTAGCCTCGAAAAGAGTTTTTCCAACCAAACATTCAGAGCCCAGAACCCCAAGGCCCCAGGGATCCCCCTTCTCGCCATCTATTTGACCCTCAGTCATCTGGGGAAGCAGGAGGTCAAATATGCCAGAGTGAGTGCAGACCACCCAGAATCTTCAGTCTCATGCCCCCTGACTGATCCGTGTGGCTAGTTCTCTGCTCTGTATCCCCTCAACTCACTTTTTGAGAACCGATTGACAAGCATCTGCCCACACAACTTGGAAAATTCCTGGAATCTTCTCTGCTCTGTCATGGCAGTAGCTCCATCATCAGACTGTGAGGATGTCCAAGATAAATTTGTGTTTCAGTTAGTTTCAGATGGTGCTCACCTGTGCCTTTTCTCACTCAGCCCCAACTGGTGCCTTCAGGGCCAGGATGAGGTTGCTTTGTTTCTCTCAGGCCAGATAGAGATTTTCAGACTTCCTTTGTCCTATTGAGGTTGACCAATTTAGAAGTGACCGACATGTGTGGTCTTCTTTTGGTTCTTTCATTCTTGTTCTGATGCCTCTTCCTTTCCAGGATTATTGCAGAGTCTGAGACTGCTCACTGACTAGGGTGTTACTCAGTGGCCCTGCCACGGATGAGTTATGGATACATCTGCAGTCGCTTCGGCTTTTGATTCTGAACTGGTGTTTGGCTGCAGACAGGCTTCTGTGCTTGAGAAGGAATATACTGGGAAGAATATGGAAGACACAAGACTGAGCCCGGTAACTAATTCTGAGAAGAAAACTGCAGAGTCACCAGAATACCTTTGGACCACCCACAAGCGGTACATTGATAGATGGCTAATCTAGTTTTCCTTGGACTTGTCCACGCTGCCCAGAACCTACTGCCATTTATCAGACATAGGACTTCACTGCTGCAGAGTCATCTCGAATCTCTTTCATTGGCCATTTGACAGAAGGAAAATCCTTTCTGCCCTTA